ACTCCACAGCTTCTTTGTTCCAGCCTCTACCTCTTCCTCTTCCTCGTCCTGGTCCATACCCCCTTCCTAGACCTCTTCCTCCTCTTCCATAGTCATAGGAAGCCCTGAGAGCTTGATCATCCTCAGTCACCACCTTTGTAACCTTCCTGCTAAACTTTTGCTCATGCACCAGAAGAGAACTTTGAAGTGCATCAACTGTTAGGGAGTCAATATCTTTGGATTCCTCAATGGAACAAACCACGTAGTTAAACCTTTCAGTTAAGGTTCTTAGTATTTTTTCAACTACCTTTCCATCAGACATGTCCTCCCCACAATTCCTCATGGTATTAGCTATCACCATGACTCTACCAAAGTACTTTGAGATAGTTTCTCCTTCTTTCATTTCTAGCAATTCAAAATTCCTTCTGAGTACCTGAAGTTGAGCCTTCTGAACTCGAGCACTCCCTTGAAACTTTTCTTTCATTGATTCCCACATCTCCCTGGCAGTTCCCTTCTTTGCAATAGTCTTCAGAAGAGTTTTGTCAATAGAACTGAATAGGTAGTTCTTAGCTTTGAGATCCTTCAGTCTCAACTCGTATAGAGTTCTCTGTTGTGCTGCTGTGAGTTCTTCTCCTTCAGCCGATTCCCTGATTCCAGGGCTGATCACAGTCCAATACTCCTTAGACCTAAGCAAATTTTCCATGAGCAAGGTCCAGTGCTCATAGTCTCCATCAAATTTTGGAATGCAGACTTGAGCAGCACTGCCATTATCACCCATGACGTTCAGTTGAAGAACCAACAGATCTCACTCCCCCTATTTACCTTGTAAACAACCTCACAGATAATCTCTCGTGTTTCCCTAATCCCAGATTATCTAATGCTTTCTCTCAATCTCTCTCTCTTGCACAAATCGTGGTTACATCTTACTTTGTACTCTGATACCACAATGTGAAAACTCAGAGTGTTGCAAACTGACAAACTTCATTAGGGTGCAAGTGGGATTCTTAAATACATCGAGAGATTCAGCCAACAGTTTTGGCTTTCACCACTAACTAAGCTTCCTGGAAATAAGCAACATGATCTCCACAATCAACTACAAAGATTAACTACTAACAGGACTTAATTAACACTAAACAAGACTCGAGGACTAAAGCTGTAAATATCCAATCGACAGACAGACATACTGAATTGAATGACACGACACCGTTTTATTTAGCTAGACTCTGGTTTGAACTTTGGCGCCAAGTCCAATCCTTCTCCTGCTCGGATTCGGATTGCTCAGCAGCTGCAGCTCGACTTCTTCTCCAACAGATTAGTCTTTAAATTATTATTACATGCTATGTAACGTACATGAATAAGATCGAGCTGCATGCATGCATGTGGGACTAATGGATCATCAATCAAGTAAGTGGTTTCTTTAGCCTTGCCAAAACTTGACTGATACTTGGTTTCTCTTGCGGGCTATCTGAAGCGCAAGCAACGCCTATTTTGAGAACCGCAATCACAATCTCCTTCGATATCTGGCGAAGACGTAGTTCATTGAGTAGAATGGGATCCAGAGCCTTTGTCGGGAACGGTATATGAGATAGAGCACTTTCAACGAAGGTTCGAAGGTTTAAACCTTCTTCGAAAATTTCATCCGTAGGCCTTCTTCCAGTGAGCATCTCAAGTAGGAGGATCCCAAAACTGTAGACGTCACCTTGCGTCGAGACTTCATTTCCCATACCGTATTCTACGATCCAGAAAAAATAGAGCATATGATCCGAAACATTGACATAGGAAAAGGGACATATTTAAGTAGTAGTATAGTTCAGATAAGTACAATATCACAGTTTAATTCAGATGGTGTGATCTGAAAATTCAAGCATATCGTTTTCACGTGTTACCTTACACAAAATTTTATTCGTGTGTTAAAAAAAGAATACCATCAGTGGCGGACCCAGAAATATTTCTAAGAGTATTAAAAAATAAAATAATAAAGACGCATATACAATTCAATACGGTTTTATTAATGAAGTACACAACATATTATTTTCACAATAAATCACATAGTGTTTCCATTTTTGGAAAATTTTCCAAAATAAATTTATTATTTACTAGCATGTTGCCCGGCCGTTGGCCGGGTGTTATTGCCATATGTTTGATTCCATTTATTTAAAACGCAACTAATTACGTGTATCGGTGTATGTACATGCTTTTGGTACATTACAATTCGCTTAAACTTTCAGATGTTTAAAAAAAATATTAAAGCATATCACGGTTGTTGACATTGAATAGTTGTTCCGGTGTGACACTGAAGATCTTTTTTCTGCAATGATCTAGGTTTACAAAGTAAGTTGTATTGGTTCCGTTCTTCACTAAAAGCACAATCATGTACCTGCATGGTGTCAGGATTATATTAGATGAATGATGTTTTCATAGGATCTAATTGTTGGTAATTGAAGGTAAAGATTTGGATTTAGTACCTTCTCAACCATCAAAATGATGTCCAAATGCATGAGGACTTTGGTTTTGATGTTCACTGGCATTGCTCCCACATTCCGGAAACTCTTGTTCGAATTGCCCTTGAAAAGGTCCTTCTTCAAGACTGTCCAGTAGTGTGTTTTCCATTGTGATGCTCCCATGTTGGATATATGTTGGAATCCCTTCTTCGCCTCCGACAACTGAACGGATAATCGATTGAAATGGTTGAGTTATGAGATGCTGCTGCAAAACGTTGATGATTTTCGCTTTGATGGAACTGTCGTTTATAGTAGTTGTGTACAGATTGAATATTGCACGCAATGGCTCTTGGGCGAGATACATTGTTCTTAAATAGTGCATCATCGTTGGTAGAGTGTGGGTTATTGGCAGTTGTTTGGATGTTGAAATGGCCGAAAAGATGCGGTGATTTGCTGGGTTTGAATTTGATTTTATTTGAAGGTAGCAAGATCTTTTGTCGGTGATGTGGGTTGAAGATGCAGTTGGTTTTGTGCCTATGTTTTGGTGGTAGTGTCGATTGGGAGGATTTTTTTATTATTTGAATTTTAATTGTTGTAAACCTGCAATGGAAGGTGGATGGTGCAAAGATTAGAGCATTCATATCAATATAATTGTAAAATTCATTGCATATTATTTTTTATTGCTATTTCAAAATTTATGCAATCCAACTCAAGTTTATTTTATTAAACATTTATCAATGTAATTCACTTGCAATTGCATAGGACGGTTTAAGTGATTTTATATTAAATAAAAATAAATAAATCAAGGAAAAAAATAAATTATTGTTTTATTATTTTCCTACCTGGCTTTCATCTTAAATTTCATTTAATGCAAGCTTGCATCTTTGGAATTGTCCACTACATTGATGCAATCCTTTTTGCGATTGCATATTAAGTTCCATGTAGGATATGCAATTGAGAAAATATCATTGATGCGGATGCTCAGTTGGCCCCACGTAGAGTGGTCGAGAATGCCTTTTAACTTGTGTTTTGAACCAAGTAATTCTATTTAATTGGTTTAGAGCATCCACGTCAAGTTATCATATTCAATTGCAAAATGACATGAAAATGGAAATATCATTAGATTTTTATTCTATTGATAGAAGTGTTGATTGCAACAATGCAAGCTATCATTTCTCGCAATTCCACATACTCATCATGGATTCTTTATTTTAGCTTTGGATAAAATAATAAACATATACCTTTTATTTTTCTAAAAAAATAAGTTATGCCCATATACTATTGCAAATTAATTGCATTGATTTAGCTACATTAAAGTAGTATGAGTTAGGTTGCAAAAAAAAAAATATTGAGATGGCGAAAAAAAATTACAAATGCAAATGTTTTTCTTACAATTGCATTAAAAACAATTCCCTCCTAAAATATGAAACATAAGTTCGTCTATCCCTGGTTTGACATGTGTATTGTTTGGGATTTTTTTCTTTTTTTTTCCTTCAAAATTACTATAAACATTTACAACAGTAGGTATTCACATTTTTTTAAAATATATATAAATAACATTGCACCAGGAAAATAATACTGCACAGGATGGGTAAGGCATAAGCTCACCAGTAGCCACAATGGTTAAAGCTAGAATTTAGTTTAATTCATATAACTCATTTGTGTGTGAGAATTTTATATATATAGAGATAAAATGTGTGGGAGAATTGTATACAAATTTAAAAGGGTCTTTTGGTGATTGGTCTGAAAACTCTGTATGGGCTGTAAAAAATTTGGAGATGGGAAGAAGGAAAGGAACAGTGCGATTCTTCTTGGAGTTGGCGGGAGAAGAAAACAGTAGGAGTCAGGGAAAATTCATCTCCGTGCAAGGGGAGAAATTTGCTGCACGTGCGGAAAAAACAAAAAACCAAAAAACGGAAAATATACATGCTGACGTGGACAGCGCTCGTTTTAGTTGAGGGTACGCTGGCAGGGGGTAAAAACTGAAACTGCTTTAATATTTTTAAAGATGTTACAATTCACACAACTTTGAACAAAACTAGGGGATATTTAGATAATGAATTTATGAAATGAGACAATTTCACCAATTTTTTTTAAAATTGTCTCATGTGACAATGGACACATCATTTCAAAATATTTGTCCATCCCCTGTCAATTCAAATTGATGCAAAACAAGACAATTGCTTTGGTCAAATTAATGCATCCCCCATTTTATATTGCCAAACAAAGCAATTGAACCTATTTACTTTATTTTTTATTTTGCGACAATTGAACCAAATTACCACATCCCATTTCATCATCCAATCTACCTCTTAATCAAATAATAATTCACAAATTGCTCGCCAGATGAGAATTTGGGTGGAGTGGGTAGTCAAAGGGGTTTCCCCATAAATGAAAACGATAACTAATAAAGTAAATTTTATTTTGAAAATAAATTCAGTTCCTTAAATAGAATTAGTAATAAACTATTTAATTTTGTAACAACCATTGGTTTACAGGTAAAAGGAAACGTTTAATTAGATATTCTAAGGGTTGTCAAATTGAATTGGATTCCAATATTGCTATCATTAATAACCTTAAAATTTTCACTGAAGCTTATTCCAAACATAAAACTAAGGTTTGTCAGTTGACAATCCTTGGAGCACCGTAGGTCCGCCTCTGAATACCATCATATAGTTGAAATAATTTATAATAATTCGTTCCATCCAAAGTGGAGTACTTACCTGGAGGAGCATAGCCAATTGTTCCTTTTATGCAAATTGTGCTTGATGTTTGGCTCGCTGAAGAAAGATTGTCGATTGATGATCGAAGAAACCTCGCCAATCCAAAATCGCCAACATGACCTACTTTGTCCTCATCAAGAAGAATATTGCTGGGTTTGAGATCACAGTGAACAATGGGCATTTCGCATTGGTGATGGAGATAATCTAGTGCAGAAGCTACGTTAATGGCGACATTCATTCGTTGGCGAAAGCTCAAGCTCTTCGGAGGCTCGTCAGCCCTTTCCACCGGATGCAACCATTCTTCCAGACTCCCATTAGCAAGAAACTCATAGACGAGAGCCTTGAAGTCATTCCCCTGACGATCAACCCCTGAACACACTGTCAATATCCTCACCAGATTTCTATGTCTGATGTTCTTCAAGGCTTCACATTCTGCCACGAAACTCTTGGTAGCTCCACGACGATCAAGGTTGAATACCTTAACAGCAATTGTACTCCCATTCTGATCAAGAACTCCTCTGTACACAGAACCAAAACTTCCCTTACCAATCAGATTTGCTGTGGAGAAGCCATTTGTGGCCTTGTAGAGCCTTAGATAAGAGAGTTGCAGCATTGAATCATCAGAAGAAACCGAACCTCGCTTTCTTCTCTTTCTAATCCAGATAACAAGCAAGCAAGAACTAGTTAAAGTAAAAAGTAGCATAATGGAGATTGTTGATGCAACAATCTTCCACTTACTGCTCAATGCCTTCTTCTTCTTTAGGTGTTTGAAGTAATAATTACAAGGTGGAAGTTTAAGCTCAGGCACACCTCCACAGAGGTTGCTGTTTCCACTTACTAATACGATACTACCATTCTTTAACATTCCTCCTTGTGGCACTTCACCTTCTAGATTGTTATACGAAAGATTCAGAATCTGCAGAAACTTCATATCCTGAAAAATGTCTGGAATTTCACCTGATAAGTTGTTGCTCGAGACGTCGAATTGTTGAATCCCTCTCAACACACCCAAACCAGAAGGAATAGGTCCTTGTAGAAGATTGCCTCTCAAATTCACCATCTCCAATCCAAGACAACTACCCAGATTCCCTGGAATGCTTCCTGACAGCATATTATGAGACAGATCCAAAGAACCCAAGTTCTTCAGGTTGCTGACCTCCGCCGGTAGAGCACCAGCGAGTTGATTCTGAGACAGATTCAACAATCTTGACAAGGAAGTAAGCTCCATGACATGTTGAGGAATGAAACCACTGAGATCGTTGTTCGAAAGGTCGAGGAATATGAGATCCTGACAGTTTCCTACAGAGGCAGGAATCTCTCCATCCAGATTGTTACTCTCCAGGCTCAACAGAACCAACCTGGTCAAGTTCCCAATCGATGATGGAACAGATCCTGAAATCTTGTTATGACCCAAATCCAAACTCTCCAGGCTCTGCAACTTCCCTATGCTGGTTGGAATAGAACCTGACAGACTGTTGCGAGATGCATCGAAAAGCTGCATGTTGATAAGATTCTGTATCCCACTTGGAATGCTTCCTGATATTTTGTTTCCACCGATCCGCAGAAGTCTCAGCCTGCTCGACAGATTGCCAAACTGCAGAGGAAACACGTCGCCGAAGTTGTTGTGTCCAATGGCCAGGTTCTCCAGACTCGTGGCATTGGTCAGGGAAGAAATAAAGCTCAGATCATCAGCACCCCCACCTCCAAGAAAGTTGTGGTCGATGAGAAACCAATCAAGTCCGCGAGATCTCGCCATGTTAGGCACGCTCCCGCTAAAATTGTTGTAACCCAGTTGAAGTGTGACCAAATTCGATGCATTGGACAAGGAAATGGGAATGCTACCAGTGAATTGATTAGAATATGTAGCGAAGTTCTGAAGATTGGGGAGCAATGTTCCGAGGTTCCATGGAAGTGTGCCACGAAGATTGTTCGTGCCGAATGACAGATAGGTGAGAAGGGAGAGGTTGTAGATTGAAGCAGGGACTTCGCCGGTGAAATTGTTGAGGTCGAGATACAGAGTATGGAGGTTCTTCAGCCGGCCGAGAGATTCAGGTATTTCTCCGCTCAGCCTGTTGCCGCCGATTGCGAATGTCTCGAGAGACGAGAAGTTGCCGAAGGAAGGAGGGATTGTTCCGGTGAGGTAGTTCTTGTAGACCCAGTAGCCACGGAGCTTGCGATTGCTCCACCGCGGCAGCTCTCCGACGAATTCGTTGTTTCCAACGTGGAATATGGTGAGGGCAGAGCAGGATGAGATGTTTGATGGGATCTCCCCTGTGAGCGAGTTGTTGGAGAGGTACAAACGTTGAAGCCTACGTAGATGGCCAATCTCGGGAGGGATCTTTTCGGTCAAACTGTTGTTGTTGAGGAGAAGCTCCGTCAGGAAGGTGAGGTTGCCGATGTGTGGGGCGATGGGGCCCGACAGTTTTTGGTGGCGCAGGTCCAGAGTCGTGACTCTGGCTCTGGTATCGTGTCCTGTGGTGGAACCACAAGATACACCGTGCCACTCACAAAAGTGAGTGGAATCGTTCCACGAGTTCAGGGCTCCGAGGGGGTCGCTTGAGATCACGGACTTGAACTTGAGCAATGCCAGTCTGTCCGTCTCGTTGTTGGTCGGAGTTATTGGAGGGTAATTGGCATCAACAAGATGGAAGTAGAAGCAGCTCATCATAAAGCACCACAAGTAAAGGGCTAGAGTTGAGAATGCAGAGAAATGTTTTCCTGATGTACCCATGAGTGATACTCTTTTAGAAGTTATGTGCTCTTAGTATAGATAGTGGTAGGGATGTGTAGTATTAAATACAAGGTATCCACTAAAATATAGTACAAAAGAGTATGTCATCCCACCTATGAATAATTGAATATAGAATAGAGACTTGAGACCAAATTTGGAAGCAAACATCACAATTTATGACTATGATGGTGAATTACATAAAACGGTCTCTAAATGTTGGGATTGCGAACAAATTGATCATCGAATTTTAATCTTTAACGAACATTGTTATTGAAATTTGAAATAACTAGTATGGTATTATTCATTCTCAAGTTCTTCTTCTTTTGAATTTGTCCAACCGATCACCCCGTTTTTCTAGCAACATCATAATACTAAATCTCATGCTAAACCCTCGGATAATTCATTACTAGATATAAGAAAGAACATTTGGAATTGTTCGTTTAACATAAAGTGAACATTCGATCGAATAATGAGATTGATATGAATCAGGTATAAATCACAATGAGTCGATCAGAACATAATTTATTATATTGATGACCCAAAAATTCAGCGACCTTTATGTAATTGGCCCTCGAGACAAATGGATAATATATACTAGCAAATGGACCTGTCGTGCACTGCGGGAAGCCAATATTAGTGAAGATTCAGACAGAAATAGCAGAATAGAAAGAACACCAATGGCGAGCAAAGGCGGCAGGCTGGAAAATCCCTTCAATCACTCCACCGCGTTTTGACTTTCCCTTTTTTTCCTGGCTCTGTTTCTTCGACTCTTGGAATGGAATGCTGCAGCTCACGAGTCAGGGGGGTTTAGTCAAGTGTCAACTAGGTTTGACAATCAAACTCATGGTCGCGGGTATCCGACCGCCCCCGACCCAGTCAACGTGGGAAATCCCTGCTTTGACCGAGTATGGGGCGAGTATGGGTAAAACCCGCAAAAAGTTTGATGGGTATGGGGCGGGTATGGTTTTAGCCTCCCCGCCCCATACCCATCCCCATACCCGCCCCACCAAGATACTTTCTTCATATATATAAAAAAATATGTGCATCAACTTATAATCTATCAATGATGATGAGGATAACTTGAGAAAATAAATAGTAGAAATGCAATTGAGTGACCACCTTAATCAAAATCTAATTCATTTCTCTCAATTCTCATTTCACTCTTTCACTTTCCCCCTTGTCAACAAGATTATGTTAGTTAATTATTATTTAGTAGATGTATCAGAGTTAGAACATAATAATTTGAAAAATATTATACTCTATATTATGTATTAACGGATATTTTAGGATCATAATCTTTGAACCATATTAAAAAAATGACCGTGTTTTGTTGACTTCATGATATAATATGTTCGTTTAGAGTTATAATTAGAACTTTTCTTGTAAGTTTTAGGTATAATAATGTTCGATGTACGGGTATGAGTATTACCCATGGGTACCCGAAACCCACGGGTATGGGGATGGGTTTGCAAAACATTCCCCCGCATGGGTATGGGGCGGGTATGAGTTTGGGTATTTGAAGATGGGTATGGGGATGGTTTAAGCAAACCCGCCCCAAACTCGCCCCATTGTCATCCCTAGTGTCCACGATGAAATAGTAGGTGTGTAGAAATGGTGCCAATTGGCAGTGAGGTTGATGGTGCCACTTGGCAGTGGGGTTACCACGTGGCGTCCTGTGAGTTGGCGATAAGGTTTGTCATGGAGGAGTGCTAAACTGGCGGAATGTGATCAGTGCCACATGGCAGTAAGGTGAATGGTGACGTGGAGGTGAGCGCTATGTGACGGGGTATGATTGGTAATTTGGTATAGCATGCTATTGGCAAGTTAATTTAAATAAGTATGTGGTAATATTGATTCAATCATTCCGAGCATACACCAATGTAAAATAATAACCGTGTAATCGGAAAATAGAAAAAACATCATCGTTTAATTCTTATATGAAAGTATACGAGGAAAAAATACATGAAAAAGACAAGAACACGATTAATAAAGATGGATTATTTTTGCAAAAAAAAAAAATAGTTGGATTATATTTCAGGATCAAGCCAACCCATTTCTTCTGGCACAAGAAAGCTCCTCCCAATTGAACCATCCCCAATTTGGCGGAAATTTTGACAACCGTTTGACAATATTACTACAAGTCTTCAACCCTTTCTACAATCCCTTGCTTTCCCACGTTGAATTAGGTATTACAAACAAACATACAGAACAAAATCATGAGGTCGTGTAGTTTCTCTCCTTCACTCTCCCTCTGCGCTGTTCTTTACAGTTGATGCAAAACAAAGCAACCAGACATTCAAATGGCAACAATGGCTGCTAATGACCTCCTGCGTTTCGCACCCCAGTATATATTCAACTCTACATTCAACTCTGTTGTCACCTTTCTTTTGGTTCCAAGGAAGCCCTGGCAGTTTGAAGCCCCACAGTAGCACTTCACTTCTGGTCCAAACTGCACGAATCTAGAACGAAACGAAAACCACCTTGAGTGCCCTAACTCAACAATGCTGCTATGCTATTCAATAATAGCCGCATAAGGGTTTAAGAATGTGTACCTGTAATCATATGTCAATGGTTCTCCAACATCGATGGACCGAGCAGCAAAAATACCAACCCGTGTCTCCCCCTCAACTTGCCTATGTGAAACCGGTACGATTGTTAAGTTAATTGAAAGCATTGTACTTGGTTGTTCACTAAATAAATGGATCTCTGGAATGGTAGTGTTAACAAAGGGGAAAGATGGTACTAACCACTTTTCGAGTAGGCAGTTGGGATCGCAACTGTGGTTCAAGAAACGAGAAGTGTTTCCCTTGTATGTGGCATCTATTGTGAAGTTCTTGCGTATTTCGCACATGTAGAAGTTCTGAACTCCCCTGTACTTCATGTCCCAAAGCCTTTGCTCGCATAGTGCATCACTAATGACTGAAGAGAAAGACAGTGGTGAATTAGCTGAACACTGCTATTGAAGTGATCAGGGTTTGGGAGACATGTACATGTGTGCATTATGCATCATTGAAGCTGTATGTGAAGGCATCTATGGGAAATGGAACGCTTTACTAACCATAGAATTCTTTTGAATAGGTTATAGCATATGCATGTTGGCATGGAAGAAAATATAGTGACAACATCAACTACTTAAGTAACTCAATCAAGGGCCGAGTAAGTTTATACCTTCCCCAATGTACTCTATGACGAAATCACCTTTGTTTATCGGTTCAGCTGCCATTACCCCCCAACCACAAAGCTCTGTCTGAGGAAGAAACAAAGCTCAGTTATGTACCGCACCGAGGAATTAGTAACCAGTAACCACCAGCATAAAGGAGGTCCCTTTGCAAAATGCAAGATCCCAAGAATTCTTTCTCCTTCCATCTTATTAGATTTCAATGCACCTTCCCTTCCTCAACCTCTTTCTTCCCCAAAGACAGAGTATTTTCAAAACTATACAGTTAATTCTTACCTTGACAATTCTTATCTTTTTATCCTTGCGAAAGGGCCGGTTGGTGCAATTTTCAGAGCAACGGCAAGATTTAGAGCAACTTATGCATTGGACCCTGAAAGAGATGGACAAAGGTTGCAACTTACTAAAGAAGCCAATACTTCACCAGATGAATCTTGATATGCAATATACATAGAAAAAACGAGGCCCTAACAAGACAATCTTGAGCAATTTGGCCAAATATGCATAAATCTAAGTTGTGAAGAACACCTGGTTTCTTAAGAAATGAAGGGGACAATATGGTGGGTACATGATAATGCCTATTATTTGAATAGGATTCAGCAGCACCTAACATTTCAGTAAAGACCAAGATAGGCCATGCCTTCTACCCACAAACCAAGTGCATTCTCAAAGCCATAAGATGTGTATTTCACTAATAATGCAAATGGTCTAGGCTTAGCAACTTGTTAGATGGAACCCTTTAAAAACGTTTCGCAGCCAAAAAAATGTCAACAAGCTCATTTTTTAGTGGACCAAAATTAAAGAAGAATCCACGGACCTTAACACAGAAAGCTGGGAATAAGTTCGGATAAGTAAAAACAAGGTAGAAGTTCATTGGTCATCTCTGATCTACCTGCATACACAGTTTTCACAGCATATAGGACCGCAGTTTGTGCATCCATTATCATATCCAGCAGCACCATCACGTTTCTTCTTGACCATGTAAATATCTAGCTTATGTTAAGGCAGTCTTCTGGGAAAAATATCTACCAAATCGGCATAAAAAGGAAAGGGGGATTTGATATAGTAGAGGAACATGCAACTAATAACCAATTATATGACGTCAGTTCAAAATGGCAGCAAGCATAGGATACTGCGCCTGATGTGCACAAATGGAGGGGGCTCGAGTTTATTCTCCATCAGGCCCTTCCATGTCAAATCAATCTTGAACTCTTCCTCGACATATGGCAGGGGCAACCGAAGGAATATCTCCTAAAGGATAAGAAGCATAAATGTTAGATTTCAGCAAATACTCCAAAGGTTCGTCACAAATAAGAATCAAGGATAAACAGTGATGTCTCTTGTTGGCCTCCCGCATTAATTTTCTTCCTGCTGGACAGAAATGAGAACAGGGTTCTGATGTTGAAATGGTATAAACTACTTATAAGCAGCTACTACATTTTGTTTCCATCTCTTATTTAGCAAGTAATCATATCCACTAGTGGTCCATTAAGGTTTTTCCTCATCTTAGCTTGCTATAACAACCATTGCCAAGTCTCCATTAGTTAATTGACACTAGAAACAAGGCCTACAACCAGTCACCCTAATCTCTTTATTTGTGAGACTAGAGCTGATTGCCTGAGTTTTGAATTTATTCTTTCCCGTCTCTGAATTGTGCTTCGAAATATATTGATACGCTTCACAATATAATAGAAAGGAAACCTGTATCTGCATGAACTCTGACCTCAATATCACTGGCTGGTACCAAGTGCCGCTCATTCTACAAATATACGAGTCCTGTCAGCCAGCCTAATCAATAAAACATATGGATGAAATATAAAATGCGCAAAAGAAAACAAAAAATGACGGACAGCTTAGACATATTGAATTGTCAACATCATGTCAACAACTTCGCTAAAATAGACATTGACACTTTACGATTCAATCAGTTTCCATTTTGAGATTCCTGGATCTCAGCTTTATGCTGACTACATCCACGAGTTGAAAAATGACTGGTCTGCCCACTGCCAATTCTTGAGATAAGATAGGCACCAAAGGAAAAAAAAAATGGATATAGCATCTAGCATGGACCAAGATTTTCAATCTAACAAGAATTCAGTTTGAGTTTATTGATTATACATGCATGTGATAAAGCAGCTGAAACCTAGAAAAAGAACCATGTGGACGATAATAAGCAGGTTGGCCTGTATTGAGTGAACTTATGAAATATGCATACTTGAAAGATGGATGGAACTAAGTTTACATAGTAACAACTTCCTGGTCTGGAAACAGTAGTTTGAGTAGAAAACACACAAAGAGCCCTTCATCATGGACTTCACTAATGAGTTATCGCTAGCTTCTGGAGAATAATTTAAAGCTCAGTGAGAAGTAATATTAGGTTAAAAAATGTAAATTACATAAGTATGGGATAATGAACTTTAAGCATCTAAGTAGACCAATGGGCAAAATCAAACTGAAATTCTTAAAAGCTAAACAGAAAGCAAAATGTTCTACCATATTAGCTCGATGTGCAATCATCGTTGGAGCTTTATATCTCTTAAGGTTTAAGCTCATCTTATCATATACACCATTCAACAAGTTTCAAGCATTCAAGGTTTCCAATCAAAATACAATATGTTCTCTTTCTGAAAACAATCATGCGCCAGAGACAAGGACCTTTGACAAGCCATCATTAGAGTATAAAGAAGAGGTTGACCTTCTTATCCAGTCTCCAATCATTCGGATGTCTATCTAGTCTCCAATCATCCGGATGCCTCCAACAAATTGCGCGTCCTGGCTGGTTTATCAAATGGATTACAGTATGCGGCCATGGTGCACACTTGTCATGTGAAGCATTTAAGCATTGGACACACCTCCACTGTAACCTCTGACTGCATACAAAGCATTCCTGCCCATGACAATATTCAACCACACGACTAGATAAGAAGATTGATGACTTACAAATCAAAGGATGTTTGCACCATTAATCAAGCTTACATGCTGAGGGCACTTGAATTTCTTCACATTTGAGACTTTAAACGTTTCCTTCACACACTGTGAGTGATAAACCCCTGAACAGTTCCGCACAGAGCAGGTAGCAAGCTCATCTCCCGGATCGATACACAAACGGCAAACGCGACATACAACCTGAACCAGATCCGTAAAAAGGCATCAAACCCTGTAAACCACTTCTCCTCCAACAGTCAAACCACCGAAACAGACAAAACCCAAACAAAAGACAAGAAGAGAAGAGAAGAGAAAAGGAAAGGAAAGTGAAATTCTCATCACCATTCTCTCTCCACCGCCAAGAAACGGAAGGTAGCAGCTCGACTTGGAAGCCCCCGATTCCATCTTCTTATGGACCCAATCGCTCACATAATCCTCCAAACACTTCGCTCCGCAACCTTTCTTGGCTCGATCCGGTACTCCGCCGCGGCACCGCCTCAGCACCTTAATCAAACCTCCATTACATCGCTTCTTCCTGCTCGGCAACCCGAGGTTGAGGTTCCAGTCGCATCCGTTGACTATAGCTTTGACCGGATAGCTACCTTCGAGCTCGCCATCTAAAGGAGATGGAGAAGGAACAGAAGAAGAAGAAGGGAGACTCTTCAGAGTCGAGCAGTGCGTGCGAACGAGGGACGCATTTCCGAGGTCCGGCATTGATTGAACAGAAATTCGCCGGAGATCGAGAAATGGGGAGGAAATGCCGGAACCCTAGCTATTGCCTCGATATTTTGACCAGAGAAATTGGGCGGGAAATGTGAAATTTTCCAGATGGCCGGGGGAGATGTCAAATGACGTTGAAGTTACATCGAAATGGACTATTTACGAGAATACCCCGGTAGTTATTCCCTTTGGGGTTTCGAAATGGCACTGTAGGACCGGCCCATTAATACAGAAGTGAAGAAAGATAAAACTATTGGGCCTCGCGAGCTGGCCCACTACACTTTACCTTTGGTCCGTATACAAATTTACAGCATGTGGTTATTCCTTGTTGCACCAGGATTAGTATCTAGGGGGAAATGTCCACTATATCCTTGTTAAGGATTGTCTATTCATCTTATATACCTACTCCTAATAGATTGCACGAAATCTACAGCAGGCTCCCTTCTGGAATCACCATTGATGAGGTTGCTTCTTTGCTTTTCAGCTTCCTTCTTTGCTTTACGCCTCTCGAGTTCGATTCGCTTGATGTTTTCCTCGTGCGCTCGAACGAACATCCTCTTGAAATTCAGCAGAGTAGAGACAACTGCGGAAGCAATGAATGCAGAAAAACAATAGACCCCTTAGATTGAAACAATACGTGAAGCACATCATGAATTGGGCTACAAGAACCTGAGGACATTTAAGTAAGCACAGTGATGTCCGAAAACCTTGCTCAAAAGGGCAACGGGCTGGATCTTCGCCGAAATATACAGCCAATTCATCTACATTTCTACCCTGGGAAGGGAAAAGTTCAAGAATTTGTCAGGAGAAACAGATTATTCCTGGACAAGATAGAACCATGAATGCTCATTAACTAGAGATTAAAGATTATACTTACGACACTCGAATAGAGTGAGCCCAAGGACTTCACTTCCCTTTCTGCATAGCTCAAGAATTCCCTCATGATCTGGAAATGTAGAAGCCAAGGAGATGAATGTAAGAAAAATTACGCCTAATCTCAGTAGAGAATCCATTTAGTTCATCATTAATGGTCACAAACTAACTGATCAATTACAGAACAGTCACTTCGTAGCGGTACCCATATAATCTTTCGTTAGTTAGACCGGATTAGCATAGCAATTAATAGGCTCGCCACATCACCACATGATAACCCAATTTAGTTTTGGTGACATTGGCAAGCCAATGCGGCATGCTGACTCAGCCAAATAAACCACAAATCAGATGGAACAATCTATTTTGTTACAGATCATTTGGTTAAGTTAGAGGTTCTGCTAAATGACCATGTTGTTACAAACCTGAATGTGTACTTAGCAATCCACAAACAATGGTAACAAACGCAAAGAAATGCAGGATTACCTTACAGAAGTATTCTGACACAGTGCCATCATTCTTCTCTGAGGCTGCCAACTCTTGTAGAACTTTCTCCAGACCTTTGCTAATGGCTTGCATCTCCTCAGCTAAATATTTCAATTGTATCTGCAAAGGGAAAACTTGTGGCACTCAAGCTCAGCCATAACCAGAAAGCTCTAGCTAGCTGCAGTTTGAATATTTCCACAAACAAAAAAGAGAAAAGAGAATATCACTTTCGTTGCAGCCTCCAAGCTCACAAGGTCTTTGGAGAAGTCAAGCAGTTCTGGCATCTTCGCAGCGAACGTCTAGAAACCAAAGAAGTAAATGAGAGGATCAGTAATGATCTAGGGATGCTCCCATGGGCTTTCACTTGAAACAAGTTAATAAAAGTCACTCCCACCTTACAAAGATAGTGCATTAGGGTCATTTTGTTGTCCCTGGATCGAGTATCCGTGAGTTTAAGGAGACTGTCTAATCGAAAGCCAACAGCAGAACCTGGCGAAAAACTAAAGTTAAAATCAGTTGGAAGTTTCTGCCTTATTCCCTACCAGCATTCCTGCTGAAGTCAGGCCTATTAATTAGGAGGACACATGGATGTAAGAACTTTGGCAACTCTCACCCCTAGCAGTTCCTTGGTTCACAGCATTTCCAAGGGAGAGAACAGATTGCATGATCCTTTTTAACTTCAATGAACTGACGATCTGTGTTATTCACATATTGTTCATGGTGTTACGCAAGTAAAAAAATTTCGGAGCTGAAAAAAACTATCTTAAACACACAGAATAGTAAGTAAGAAGAATAAAAAGGATTGACTTGCCTCCTCGGTTGCTGAAGTAATAACATTCAAGTTTCTCCTTAGGTCAGAAACCTGCTGGGAGAACTGCAACTTGAATGAAAACACCCTTAACTTGGACTCTACCCTCGGCACTTTCATTAGTTCCAAGAAAAACTATCATGAACATACAGAGTGAGATAAGATCAGACTGTAACACACACCCCGAGTTATTATCAATGACAAAGAGAAGTTCAAAGTTTGCACCTTTTCACATTTCCCCAATCTTTCATTGTCCCCTTTATAGCCCTGAATTGTTGGAAGACTCAAGTTTAGTCTATTGTCTACGTTCAGATTACAAGGAACAAATGGCGAGGCAGATAGCTATACATTAGTACCTTGAGCAATTCCATTTCTTCTTTAGTTGGACAAAACTTAACAAGGCTATCAACTTGATCGACATCCAATACTGAATCATCCAACGCTAGAATTGAACTCTGGAAGATTTGATAGGGGGACGAAAATAGTATGAGATAGCATCACTATTAACATTTAATGTGCATTATTGGTAGTATTTGGTTCACTCGACTGTAATATGATACAGATTCTTTATCTGTAGTTTAGCCTCCTCACACATTTTAGAGCCAACTAGCTTTAAGCTTAGGATTAGGCTCATCTTACCATCAGATCATGGAGAGGAATCTTAACTTTTGTCAGCATGATCTCACAGTTGTATGCACGTCTAAGCTCAATCTGCAGAACATCCATAAATGCAGTCATCAATTCTTCAGCAAAGAACTGCACACAAAACAAAGGATGAAACCATAACAAAATTTTAGCAGAACCCACTAGACTACCAGTTGAACTTTCTCAGATTTCCGTACTCCAGAGGCACGCCGCTTTGATTTGGCTCCAATGCCTTTCGTCTCCGAACTCGGAGTAGCAGCTGCTGAAAACAGGCTCTCAAGTTCTGACATATCAAATTCAGGAGCCCTATGATCAAAAGAGGAGCAAAAATGTAAACTAAATTGCATTGGGAAACTGTTAGCTTCTACCACAAGAAATGTGTAAAGAAGCACACATACATGGAAGTGTCATTAGAGTACTTCTGAGCCTCAGCCCATATGCTCCCCTGAGTTGCTCTAGTAAATTTCAGCCAATGATAGGGTTTCAGGCTGGACCTTTTTGGTTGAGCTTGAATTCTTGACCGTGGCATCAACCCTGCTCGTGGTGGCCCTGGAACTGGAGGCACATTCCTGTTTGTAAGTATTCCTATCACCGGTGGTGGTGGCAGGGTTGCTTTTGGTAAAGTAGATGGTGGTGGAGGTGGCGGAGAAGGAGGATCTGGCTGTTGTTTAAGAGGTGGTGAGCTTGCCTGCTTAGCAAGCAAAGGAGGTAAAGGAGGAGGAAGAGGGGGATAATTGAGTGTTGCAGCTTTATTGGTTGGTTTTGCTTTGACTGTTCTGAAAGCTGAATTCCTAACCAATGGTAACTGAGGTAAAGGTGGCGGAGGAGGAATTGGCGATTTCTTAGCTTCAGAAGAAGTTTCGTTGTTTCTTGAGTCATGATGAGACTGGGATGAAGGTTGAGGTAGTAGCTTCACATCAAATGTGGCACTGACGTGAACTGGTTTCCCGACATTTCTAACATGAGAGGAAACAGCTATGGCTGCCGGACTTAAATGCTTAGATTCATCAGTAGCAGATGAAGAATCATCATGTAACAATGCTGTAATCCCAAGGCCTAAATATGTTGCTGCATTCGGATACCTCGTAGAAACTGGCGTTTGAGGGATTCTTGGAGAACATATGATCTTCGATGGAGGAGGCGCTTTGATAGAAGAAACACATAGTATCCCGCCATGTTCAATACTAGTAGTTTCTAAACATGGTTCCTCTGACTTTGCATCAAGAGATGGCTGGCTAGACAGGGCAGGAGGTGCAGATTGCTTCATTAAATCACTGGATTCGTGCTCTTCAACATTGTCTTTCAGTCCCTTCAATAGGCTAGAGTTCGTCCCCGCTAATTGATCAACCACATTAGATGCTTCCCAAGGAAGGCATTTTTTCTCCTCTACAACAAGTGAACCAGCTGGAGCTGCATACTCCATTTCCGAGACCAGAACCTTGAACTCCATGTGTGAAGAAGAAGAAAAATTCATCACTTGACAACAGTTGCAGAAGAACAAAGTAAACGAAAGCTGCACCACATAAATATAGCTCTATTACCTTGAAGTTCTTAGGGAGCTTATGTTTGGATTTCCATAGTGCTTCAGCTTGTTCTTTAGTAAGGACTATGACATGTGGCCTTATGTAAGGTGTATGGAAAATGATCTTGAACATCAACATGGCTTCTCTTTCTCCTATTTGAACTTGAAGAACATGGCAATTGATTTCTAGCTCTGCCTACAAAAAAACAAGGGATGCAACTTGTTGACACAAATGTGGAAACTCCAAAAGAACCAAGTCTTTTTATCTTGATAAATGGAATTATAATCCAAATGACCTTTTCTGACTACCTGGTCGCAATGCTGGTTCCTTCTTGGTGTTCCTAACAGAAGCTCCTGAGCTCCATCATCATCGACGAACCGATCCTGCCCCATGATTCCTAGCATTGGCCTACAGTCTCCTCCTCTAAGAACGATGGAATCCATTCCAAGCCTTCTGTCCAGTGTTGCAAATTCTCCCTCTTGGAAGCCGAACTCCATATTATTGAATTAGGGAAACTTCAGGTGAAACTGTTCCTAAGACGAGAAACCCAATATAGCCCACCATTGTTATTCTGAGAGCAAACAAAAGAGAAACTGAAAGGTCGGAACTTTCAAAAGAAACCCCCCAGAAAACGCAAATGACGAGCACGATAAGCTGAAACGCCACAAAGAAGAAACTCCAGGTAACGAAAGGGAAGAAGATGAACTGAACTGGAGGAGGACGGGATTCGTTGTGGAAAAATAGTAACAACCCAAATGATGAAAGAAGGAAAGCATTAGTTACCATTAACCCTTTTCGGAGATCTCCAATAGCCCTTCTGGGTTGGTACTTTCCATAGCTGAGAAGCTCTCTCCCAAAGCTTCATATAACGTGGAGGGTGTAATGATGCAACTGTGAAGGAAAGAGAAAGAGTGAGAGTATATATTCAGGAATCAGAAGGAAATAGGGGTAATGGGAAGTAAAAAAGTAATCTTTTTTGCTGGGTTCTTAAGAAACCCCCATCTTCTCCTTTTCCCGCCCTTTATTGTGTTAACTTATTCGGGTAGAAGTTACAGAGAGACCTGGTTTGATTGTCTTGGCAGTCACACACTTACTCCTGCCATTGTTGGTATATATATCCAGTTGCCCACCGAGACTTTGCTTTCAATTTTTCAATCACCAGATGGGAGAGTCAGTTGTGTATGTGGGATAGCTGAAGGTGGGGGACAGATTTACTATGGTTAGTGTTGCTTGGTAGGATTGGTTTTTTCTTAAAAGATGATGGATAACGGTATTTGTACACCTCATACAAGTTAATATATCTATTAAAAATAGGGCTAATTCCCCTAGTTCAAAATATTTAAAAAGTGTCATTTGTGGACTAAACTATTCAATTTTGTGGAATTAGCCCTTAAAAATAAGGTTTTGATAAATTTTGTGTTTTGAAAAATCATGTATATATCATAGTTTTTTTTTTTCATTATGGACTTGAAAAACACCATTGTTTGTTTTATAGATTTCATGAATTTTGCTAATTAAATTTGTGTGTACGAAGTGAAGTTGACTTTACTATCCTCATTGGTACGAGAAAATAAAGGTAATAAGATGGGTAAATTGGTCATAAATGATAGAATTCAAGTCCATGATCAATTCCAACTTAAAGGGGTAGAATTTTTGAGTTTGTGGGCTCAGGTATTGTACCCTTAAAGTCTGTGAACCCCACAGATTTGTTGTCCCTAAATACATGAAACAAAATTTGAATGAAGTCTATAATGAAATCACATTCATCAGCAAATCTATGAAGCAAACAACCCGTGTGAAATATGAGAATTTAAAGTAGATAATGGATGATAGATTGATAGTGAATGAAAAGGTTTTAACGGCCTAGTAATAATACCACTAGCCTAAAATCTAGAGGTTTCAGGTCAGAGCAGTTGGCATGCTTTACTTTATGATTAAATGATTAGAGTTTGTCACATTATAAAGGGCTTGATCTAATGGTAAATTTACTAGTTTTGGACCTAGAGGTATTATGCTCGACTCCTATAACTAGTACTTGATTTAAACTCAACATATATGATATCATCTTTCATATATATAAAAAATATATATAAAAGTAGTACTCTAATGTGATAAGTACTTATAAATTTAACTCAAAACACTTTTTTATATAAAAAAAGATTAAAGTAATAGTCTAATGTGATAAGTATGTTCCCAATGTTATTTTATAATAACACGAAATGGACCTTACATTGCTTATTGCCAAAACAAAGTCGTTTCAAGTTTAATTATTATCTCAACATAAAAAAATAAATCGTTTTAGGTTTCATCTATCATTTAAATTTCCAAATGCCAATGAGAATTTTATGCTCTCTATGTTTGTTTCTTGACAATTTACTTTACACCTTTGCATTTGAAACTCGTATTTATCCATCGTATGCTCAAATTCTTCATATACCAAACTTTTTAAAATGGGCGTTATTTCACTTTGACAAGCTCATTTCTTATCTAATTCGTAGCTAACTTTATGTTTGACGACATTCATCGATTTTTTTATCATTTGATAAGTGTTAAATTTAGCTTTTGAACTTGATAGATAACAAGGTGATTGCCATGGATATTTACAAACCTACATGAACACAAAACTTAAACAAGCACAAGGCGAAAACCGTCAAGAGTACCGAAACTCGGAATTCGAGTGATGAGGAGCTGAAAAAATAATAAACTGCAATTGCTTAGAAGATTGAGAGGTTGTAGCTACTTCTTAACTACATGTAACTCCACCACTTATCGACCATGCGTAATTTCGCACTCATAGACTCAGAGGTTCTGAAATGTATGTACTCAAGACTTCTGCATTGGGACAAGTCAGGAGCTCTTCTCAACTTGAAAGGAGTCGATAGATGCAGGGCTTCCAGCTTGCACGCCGCCTGTACAAAAATAAGTTGAATGTTGATCATAGTGACTGAAGTATAAAAGCTACAACTGCACCACAGAAAACTTACTACCATTGATACATAAGTGAAAAATGGAAGTATAACCTTAATCCGACTCCAGCCTCTCCAATCCTCTGCCACCGGGCAACCATGCATCTCAAGAACTACCTAACTCTTTAGATGAAGATCACTGGGGATTGGGCTACACCCATCCAATCTAAGTCAACGCAAGTTTGGCAGAATTCCATTCAAATCTTAATCCTGACAGCTTCAAATTTATAAGTCTCAGGAATTTTGATTACTGTCGACTTTCGGTGTTCTGCAGAATCAGGGAACTCTTGATAGATCCTTCAATGCATCGTTCCAAGTCATTTAAGGTATCATCTAACGATTTATCTATGGCTATGAACTTCCCTTCCCGATCTGTTTAGCGTCTGAATCTCCTAGTATGGCCAGATGCAAATCTTATTGTAAAATTTGATGAAATTATTCATCAGATTGAGCCTACAGAAGAAAGTTGCAAATCTTCAAGAGAAGTTGAATGCTGTGGAGCTGCCTTGAGTGTGCAATATGCCAATGTCGATCAGTGCAGTCATCTATTTCAGCCGACGGATCTAGTCCATATACACCGCGTCTAACGACTCCAATCTCTCAATTCCAGTGACTTCAGACAACTGTATACATCCCCTGATATCCAACCAACTCAACTGCATAAACCCAGATAAATCTGGCAAGTTCTTGACCGATGAACAGTTGTACATTCTCAACTCTTTCAACGACGGCTCCAAACTCAGAAGCCCCATCACCTCGCTCAATTCCTCGCACTGGTCAATATTCAAGATGCTGATGTTTCTGGGTAAATTTGGCAACTCCTCAAGTGAAGGGCAACTCGACATATCTACCCATTCCAGCTGTTGCAGCCCTTCCATTCCTGTAACTTCAGCCAACTGTGTGCATCCATCGATAATTAAAGTCTCGAGATCAAAGAGACCAGATAACTCCAGCTCCTTGATGGATGTGCAGCCGCCCATTGACAGCAATCTCAGCGACTCTGATGTGTCCAGTTGCACCACCTCATTCAGCTGTGTCCATCCTTCAATGTTCAAAGTCGTTAGGCTGCTCAACATGGACAGACTCGGCAACTCCTCCATCGCCCTGCAGCCTGACATATTTAAGAAATCCAACGACTCCAACCTCTCCAGCCCTGAGACCTTGGTCAACTGCGTACATCCATCCAGTTGCAAGTCCTTCAGATTCTTCAGACCAGCTCCACAGGACAACTCTCGGATCGACGTGCAGTTCGACATACAAAGTGATTCCAAGGACTCCAATTTCTCGAGTCCCTCAACCTTGGTCAGCCAACTGGACCCGGTAATGGATACCTCCTGGACATTGTGGAGACCAGAGAGATCAAGTGTGGGAATGTGGTGTTCGTGGATCTCGGAAAGATCCAAAACCAGCTTCTTCAGTTTTCCTAACCCAGACCGGAAAGCTAGAAGAATAGTACCCTGACCGATTGCTAAGCTAGGACAACCCCTTATCTCCATCTCTAATAGATCATGCTCCCATGATTCACCTTGGCCTAGCCCTTGGATTTCAGACAGAAGCTTGCAGAATGAGATGGTCAAGCTGTGCAACTTGGTCAAGTTCGAGAGGCTGGGCAGTTTCTCCAGAACCGGACAGCCCTGCAATGTCAATGTCTTGAGTGCTGCTAAACATTGAACTCCGTCGAGGTGAGTGAGGTTTGGGGCATGATATATCTCCAGAGTCTCCAGCATTTTCAGCTCTCCCAGTCCAGGAATATCAGAAACTCCAACAGCACGCAACTGCATCTCCTTCAAGTGAACAAGATTAGCAAGACTCGGCAATCGCTCCAAAGGAGAGCAAGTAGAAATGTCGAGGTGGGTTAGAGATGATGGGAGGGAAGCCATTTCACTCCCGTCCTCCAATAGTAAGCTCTCACAAGAGCAGAACGACAGCTCCAGAGACTTCAGCTTTGACAGCCTCCATATATCCCCAGGGATCTCGAGGTCATCGCAGTGTTTGAAGCACAACTCCTCCAGGTTCCATAGCTCCAGAAGGTTGGGGACCCTGGAGGATGAGAGTGACAGCTGCTTTAAACTGGTGGGGAGTCTTGGCACCACTTTCTTCAGCTTCGACTCCTCGCGCATTTCCAGCCCGAGGTCCAAGCGTTCCAAGGATGATAATCTGTAGAGATCATTGGGCAGTTCTCTTAAACTTGTGTGCCCTGCATTGAGCACTTGGAGTTTGGGAAGTGTTCTGACGTCCCCTCTCAACTCGGTTATCCTGGTGTAGGCGAGATTCAACGTGGTTAGATTCCTCGATGAATTCCCAATGTGAAGTTGCCCACTCATTTGGGTACAACCAAAAAGACATATCAACTCCAGGCTTCTACCCCGGGAGAAGTCGGGAGCTCTTGTCAAGTTATAGCAGCTGGTCAAATCCACCACTTTCAGCTTCTGCGCATCCTGTGATCATCATCAGAAACACACGCACAAGGTGAATCAAAACCATTAGTAAACTAAAGTACACAGAGCAGATCAAGAGGATAACCAACATTTTTTAGTGGTTATTTACCTTATTAAATCTGTTCCATGCTCTCCAGTCATCTGTTACAGGGCAATTGGTTATGTCGAAAACAACCAACTTTTTCATGTCCAGATCATCAGGGATTGAAGTGCAATCGTGCAGTTGAAACCAACGGATGTTTGGAAGAATTCCTCTGAAATTGCCAACCAATCCTCCACCCACCACTTCAAGATATCTCAACCCAAACAACTTGACAAAATGTCTGCTTGTCAGCTCCTCTGCATTTTCATCTTCCATGTTAATTCTCATGGCTTCCAATCGATCAGTTCCCTGTCAAATGGAAAGAAAATTTAAAGGCTTCTTGTAGGGGACTTTCGATGATTCATGTACTCCGGAAGTAACAAAAGACAGATATATCAATCATGAAATTGTAAAGTTACCTTTTCATGTGTTAAAATGTTCAAGGCATCCTCTGTGTTCCATATCCGGCTACGTTTCCATGGACGTCGAGTATCTTCATCACGAACGATAGCTCTTCCGAGATCTCTGACATGATCATGCATCCAGAACTCACCTCCTTCACCACTGTTGTTAACTTTTATTAAGGACCTCAAGATAAGGGTGTTGATTGTGATTTCTGGATGAAACCCGCAATCACTCCACATATAGAAAGGCCTCTCCTTTTCTTCTCCGATGAAGAAACAAGCAATATCGAGGAAAACTTGTTTTTCCTCGAGAGTCAACTCCGAATAACCTATCTTCAGTACCTCCTGCAATTCGGATGGAGGTACGTCTTCCAGTTGTCTCAACTTTGCTTTCCAAAAGCTTTTGTCTTTACGAAACAAGAGCGACCCTATGACCTTGAGAGCTAAAGGGAGGCCTTCCACGACTCTTACGAATTCGTTGGACAAATCAACATAGTCGTCTGGAGGGCAATCCACTCCAAAGGCATGTCGGGCGAAGAGCTGGAAAGAATGTTCCTCGCTCATTCCTTTAGGTTCATACAACTCGTATTCTTGAAACAACTCAATAGCTCTTTTATCTCTCGTGGTGACAATGAATCTGCTTCCAGACGAGAAATTTTCCAATCTCCCGAAAATCTTCTCGAACCGAAACCGATCATCCACATCGTCGATGACGATCAAAACCTTTTGCTTGCAGACCCTGTTCCTTATAACGTGGATTCCTTCATCGTCATCTGCAACCTGGTGATCATTGCTCCTCAGAATGCTTGAGATGACTGCATTTTGCAGCGCAAGAACACCTCCCTTCTTGTCCGACAATGTTTCTCGTACATCTTTCAGAAAACAATGGCGGTTGAACTGTGCACACACCTTATTGTAGATGGCTTTAGCAATGGCGGTCTTACCGATTCCGCCCATACCATGGATACCAACAATTTTGGGTCCTCCACGGTTTAACTCGAGCAGCTCTGTCACTTTCCCTACATGTGAATCGATCCCGACCAGCTCGTCCGTCACTAATGTGTAATTCCTCGTCAATTGCGACCACACCTTAGAGAAAACGTCATCTATGATAGCTCCCTGCCTGGAAATTAAGCATCATCAGTTTCACATCAATGATAAATACAGCTGAAATTATTATTTGATTAAGAGTTAATGCACAATCAAATTCCTAAACTACGAATATTTCAGTCACTTAAACAAATGAAATACGTTAACATGTTTCCAAACTTCATGTTGACAAGTAACTCACTATCTAACTAGACATTCGATACGAACAATTGCTAGAATGAAATGTTTTGAATTAGTACGATTCATGATGATAAGCAAACCTAAGATAATTATTTACATAGTGCCATCATACTAATCAATGGTTTGGATATAAAATATAACAATCAATGATACTTGTCTAATTATAGATTAGGGAAAATTCTCTTAAGTGAGAAGAAATTATTAGGCTTACTTATGAATCTCAGTCACATGCCACCCCTTCATTTTCCCAACCTCTGCCAGAGCTTCCTTCCATTCCTCAACCATGGCGGCATCGTATTCCTCGACATGTCCACGAAATGCTTCCTCGTAAGCGCCCACTTGGCGTCGCACGTCCCTGGGTTCGACCATGTAGAAAATGGGGAGGATGACATGGCCCTTCCCTTGCTTGAAGCATCTCACCATGAGAGCTAGCTCTTGAAGGCACCATTTGCTCGCAGCATAGTCTTTGGAAAGAATCGGGATGTAGATCTTGGATTCCTCGATTGCATGGACGAGGGAAGGGGCAATATCCTCTCCCTTATGAAGCTCTTCCTCGTCGATGAAAGTACGAATCTTGGAATGATCCAGATACTCGTACAGAAAATCAGCAAAAGTCGTGCGGACATCTGGACCTCTGAAACTCAGGAAAACCTCGTACTCCCCCCTTGGAAGTGGCAACATCGTTGCAGCAGTAAATCTAGTATAGTAGAAGAAAATTCAGAATATTTGAAATTCTTCCGACACAAGGGGAATCTCTAGAAGAAAAGAAATAAGAGAGAATGAAAATAAAATTTCAAGAGTGAATGATAAACAAACACTGAGGAATCTGATAAAGATCGCAAAGATAACGTACATGAAACTTACAGTGGAGAATAGATACTGTCTCTCTATTGAAAACAAATTAGAAGCTCTCAAACTCTAATTTTGGATGAGAAATGGATGAGTATGGAGTATATAACACTGATATAAGCATACATATATAGCTCAAGTTGGGGAGACCTCTAGTCTTCTACTTAATAATTGTTAATGACTGATCAAAAAGTAAACAACTACCTTGGGTTGTTGTAATCAAGGTTAGGTGAATGAATTCGGTCTCACTTTTCGCTTTCACACGGTATTAACCATTAATAATTCAGAAATTGCTAGGTTTTGCTTTATTTGATGAAAAGGAATGTGTAACACCCTATATTTATTGGGTTTTGTTGCCAGAGATTTTCAGAGGAGATCAACAAGATATGATAAAATATATAGAAATTTTGCAGGTCAAATTTCAAACATATTATACTTGCGCGGAACGAAATGAAATAAGGCACACTTCAAGGAGGAACAAAGGATCCAAACCTCGGATAAGAAGCATCCACCGAATGCGTACGTCGAATCCTTCAAGTTAATCAATGCAGCTTGTGTCGTGTTCCATTCCACTACTTGGACGTCAAACTGACAATCCAAACTAGTTGGAAAGAATTGGAGACCATCGTAGGTTGCATGCAACTGATGCAAGTAAACAATTATATAATTTTTCATCAACACTTGTCTATTTTGAGTGCAGTTATAATTTCACATGAAATCTCAATCAATCACGCACAATCTCCATCATAATTTCTGCAGCCAACAAAATGTGATTCAAGCAAATATATTCAACCTCATTCACCTAATTCTCCACAAAACGCTAAGCAGCAGCTAGAGAACCCAGGAAAGAAAAGAAGATTGCTCACAGGATGAGTGAAAACAGATAGATGACTGCAACCTCTCACACAGAAACTCTGCATCGCAAGAAAGCAAACATGGAACCCAGAACCCATCATTCACATGAACCATCTGATCTTCGCTGCAGTCTTCAGACCCTCAATTTCATCAAATCAATCAAAACAGTCAAGCTGTACAGTCTCCAAGTGTCTGGACTTCACAGCAATTTTAGGAGCTTCTTTCTCCATCTGCTTCTTTCATATACAAGTTCAGTTTGTACCATAATTTTCTTTTAAAACGAAAGCACCAATACTTTTTATTGTACAAACTGAACTTGTATTTAAAAAGTTATGGTACAAATTTAGTCTGTACTTATACTTTTTTGTACAAATTCTTTTATGATGCAAACTAAATTTGTACTTTTAACATTGTTCTGTGAAATCAGTTTTTACATATACATTTACTAATTCTTTTGTGGTACAAATTGAACTTGTACCTATGCATTTTCGTATTAATTTCTTTATAGTACAAATTGTACTTGTACTTTTAATATTAGTAGTTTTTTTACTCTTGCTCCGCCGTGGTAAGAAACTAATGATTTAGTTGAAATCAAATAACTTACAAATTATTCAGATAATATACCAATATAATTTTCATGTAGTGTCTTAATCATTACGAATAACATATGTCATTCGTTTGTTTAAGTGATACATAATAAATAACTATCTCTACATAAAGTTTACGTAATGTTTAATCATTATAGAGGACTTACATAATATTTTTGTTTAATTGATACATACAAAATGATAATCTGTCCATAAGCTTTACGTACTGTGTTAATCATTAAGGAATACTCATGTAATATCTTTGCTTACATAATAGATATCTCTCTATAAATTTTAGTTTATCTAGTATCTATAAATTCTACAAATGAATTTGTACGTTATGTAATTGTTATAGAACGTTTTTTATGTAACTATTATAGAATGTCTTACTTAAAATTTTATTAAGTATGGTCTAATAATGAAATCAAGTTATAGAAAATAACATTTGATGAATTTATAATTTATATAACAGTTATTTATGTAATTGTTATAGAACATTGTTAATAAATCTTTTAAAATGTGTGTTCTAATAATATAATCATATTTAGAAAATAGTGTATGATTAAAAATTTTATGTGAAAGTTAACTAACCTTGCGGGATTCAAATTGTTATGTCAAAGTAACTACCTTTCCACATAATACAAATTGATAACATGTTAAATATTTTAGTTAACAATGTTAGAATTGGAATAAGTAATATTGTACCTATTATTTAGCAATAAACAGTAAAATAACAGAGTTTAGTAATAAAACGTGAAAATAAAATAGTTTTACTTAATAATTAAATAAAATGAGTTTGTAGTAAAATTGAATGTAGAGATAAGTGAACAGTACCCGTTACGAAAAGGTAATTTAATATTTTATTATTATTTATTAATAAGCATTAAGAATAAAGGAGTTTAGTAATAAACAATTAAAATAACAGAGTTTTAATTAATAATTAAATAGAAATGACCGTACGGTAAAATTGGATGTAGACAATTAAAACTCATTGTGAACACTCTTGTTACAGAAAATACACTTGTGTTTTTAATATAATAAAATCTATGGTACAAGTTCAACTTGTACGATTGTACCTTTCATCAATATTTTAGAACATAAATCTAAATTTGGAGATTAACTAGAATATCCATTTGTAATCATCAACAATATAAAATCACACTTATGATACCAATACATCTACTTTAACGATTTTTTTTTTTTTTTTTATAATGATGAGTATATTAAAACTGGAAGAACCAAGAACACAAGTCCAGGAACAACAGGGGGAGAAAACCAAAGGAACAAAAGATTACCCTTATAACATATTTTGTTATTGGATCCAGGAGGGACACAGGTTGAAAACTATAAGTGTAACGTTCTGCAAGGAAGTGACAAGAGCCCCGGACTTGTTCCGTTGTACAAGTCTAGAACGGATAGATTTCATGTTTTCTTCGAATATGGGCGGGGAACTTCACATTGGCAATTTGAAGGATCTGAGAGTGCTAAACATTGAGGGCACTAATATAACAAAGTTAATAGGTGATATGGGAAGGCTTCAGAATCTGCAGGAGATCAAAATAGAAGAATCGGTGTTGACCGAAATTCCTGCTGTCATTGGTAAACTTCCCTCCCTTTCTTTTAAAACGAAAGCACCAATACTTTTTAAAATTCGTATTCTATGAAACCTCTAAATATATTATTTTGACCGTACGTTCACACGTCCATATGATATCACATTAAACAAAAAATTTTGATCATCATAAATTGAAATGAACACGAAGATTAATAACCTTTATTCTATCCCAGCATCTCCAGTCATCTCTTACAGGGCATTCCGTCAGATCCAGAATTACCAATTTCTTCACATTGAAATCGATAGGGATTGAACCGCAATGACGAAGAATAAGCCAACGTAGATTCGGAAGAATATTATGGAAATTTCCTGTCAGCCTTCCAAAAGAAACTTCGAGGTACCTCAGTCCAGAAATTTATGAAATTCTTTCTCTGTGAGCTCAGTATCCTCATCTGCCATGTTAACTCTAAGAACTTCCAACCGGTCAGTTCCCTGTTAAAATGAAGTCACACCCACAAAACCTTTAAATGCTATCTTCGGTAATCATAATAACACAAAAAAGGGAAATGAGGTGGGAGAATACCAAATGGAACAACCAATAATCTTATGAATTTGAACATCAAGAACTAAATAATATCCAAAATGCCATGTAGTATTTATCCCTATATAGTTAAGAACAAATTTGTAGCACGCTTATATAGAAACATTTTGGTTCTACATCTAAAAGTGACCATTTAAAAAATTTGCTATCGAAAGCTTGTATGCACCAGAAACAAAAATGGAGAGTACTGGAACTTAATACCTCTCCATTGAGTAACATATCCACCGCATCCTCGTTGGACCATATTCTTGTGCGCTTCCAAGGATGTTGATCATCTTCTTCACGAACTATCATTCGCCCAAGGTCTCTTACATGATCATGCATCCAAAACTGGTTATACTCATCCACCTTGATCAAGGACCTCAAAATAAGTGTACTAATTCCACTTTCTGGATTAAAATTGTAATCGCTCCACATATAGAAAGGCAGCTCCTTGTTTCTTCCTATAAAAACACAAGCAATGTCGAGAAAAATTTGTTTTTCACTACCACTCAACTCATCATAGCTTATTTCCAATCTCTCTTGCACCTTGGCAGGAGGAATTCTCTTAAGTTCTATCAACTTCGCTTCCCAGAATTTTCTCTCTCTACGAAACAAAAGCGACCCTATAACTTCAAGAGCCAAAGGAAGCCCCGCTGCAACTTCTACAAACTCCTCGCACAGGGTTGCCATGTCTTCAAGTGGATTATCCATTCTAAATGCATGTCTACTTAGAAGTTGAAGGGAATGGTCATGACTCAACCCTCCAGGCTCATAGAGCTTAGATACTTGAAGCAACTCTAGTACTCTTTTATCTCTTGTTGTGATGATAAATCTACTCTCGGGGGAAATTTTTCTTACATCACCTAAGATTTGCTCAAACGTAAATCGATCATCCACATCATCGAGAATAATGAGAACCTTGTGGGGGAATACTCTATCTTTTATAATGTGGATTCCTTCACTAACATCTCTAACCTTGTGATCATCCCTCAGAATGCTAGAAATAATCTTACTTTGCAGAGTTGTAAGTCCTTCATTCTTTAACGATAGTATTTCTCGTACATCTTCCATAAAACAATGACGCTCGAATTGTGTAAAGACCTTATTATAGACAGCCTTGGCGATAGTTGTCTTGCCGATACCACCCATACCATGAATGCCTACGATATTGACGCCGCTTTCAAAATCCGACTTCAGCAATTCCGTCACTTGGTTTACGTGAGAATCAATTCCAATCAACTCATTCGTCACTAACATGTAGTTTCCCTTTATATGTGACCACACTCTAGAGAAAACTTCTTCTGCCACTGCTCCCAGTCTGGAAATTAAACACAAGTTTGTATGTCAGTTGCAGATACACATGCAGCCAAATTCATGAACTGAAACACAAAAAATTGCATTACCTATCTGACTCGGTCACGTGCCATCCTTTCATATCCCCGACCTCTTTGAGAGCATCCTTCCAAGCCCTAATGGTGTCTTCGCCATATTTCAAACTATGTTGTTCCAACGCTTGTTCATAGGAGCCTCTACAATGCCGCACATTTCTAGGCTCCATGAAATAGAAAATGGGCAACATTATGTGACGACCTTCATCTTTCTTGCAATGCTCCATCATCAGAGCTAGCTCCTGGAGGCACCATTTGCTAGATGCATAACCCGGGGAAAGGATCGGGATGTATATTCTGGACTCCCCAATTGCCTTTACGAGAGAAGGAGCAATCTTCTCACCCTTGCGAAGCTCTTCATCGTCAAGAAAGGTCCGTATCTTGGGACGATCCAGGAGTCTATAGAGGAAATCGGCGAAAGTCGTGCGGACATCAGGACCTCGAAAGCTCAGGAATACCTCGTACTCTACCGCTGGAAGAGGATCTGGGGAACGGGATGACGAAGCGATAGCATTCAACCCGGTTAGCTCCATCCTCTTCTGCAGATGAAACAAGCAACAAAATTTAAGTCACGAAACTAGACCGGATCATATACAACTCTACAAAATACACAGCCACGAAACTAGACAACATCTGTTCCGTTCTTTTCCAGCCAATGAACACGAGTAAAAAGTGTCTGCTACCAACAAAACCTCAACAGACTGGAAACACAAACCACAACAGTGAAATTTGAGATCTGGGTTCTTACCTAAACGTAATCCGGAGAACCAATTCACAATCTTTAGGAGTTGATCACAAGCCCTCGACTTTCTGCTGTGGAGGAATGAGCAGGGAGTGGGGAATGAAGGAGGAGATCCAATCCAAGTGTTGTGTATAGACTTAACAGTTTATAGTCAACCCTCAAGAAGACGCTAGTCAACGGACGCGTCAATCGGATAGAGTCGCTATGTTAAAGCAATCTCTCATCCACTCATTTCCCTTTTACTCTCTCTTCCCGCAATCCCGCTCCATTAATCTTCCACTCACTCGTCAAATCGGCCGCCGACGGCCGCGCAGCATCGCAGTTCCTCTTCCATTCATCTCCCCCTCGCCGCAATCACCATCCTCTCTCTCCCGCGCTACAGCGATTGGCGCCGGCGGAACGACAGCAACACGGAAGCAAACGAAATTCACCAATCGGAATCGCTCCCCGAGCGTCTCCTTCAATCCCCGTGGCTGCTGCCAGTATTAATTATATGAGGAACAGAGCATTTTTTTTTTTTTTGTTTGCATAAGGGGAGACCAAAAGGTCAAGAATAAAAAGAGTTACAACGGATAAAAGGAGGCATAGGGATGACGGGAGGATCGATCCGCTCAAAAGTCAAACCCATGGAATCATCTTTAAGAAGAGGAACTAGACCCGGCCGCGGGTTCGCAACCTTATATGCATTCTGTAGGGATAGACAAGACGCACGTTGGGCCGTGTTTGGCCCGGCACGGCACGAGCACGGTTTGAGCCTATTTATTTCGTGTCGTGCTTGGCACGATCCGTCAGTTTTCATGTCGTGCCATGCGAGCCCATTTGTTACCTTTGTTAGGTCCGGCCCAGGCCCGGGCACGGTTCGAATCGTGTTGTGCCTATTCGTGCTCATGTCATGCTCGTATTCTTGTTTAATGAAAAGGACGAAAACAAAAGAGAGAATGAAAAAGAAGGTGGAAATTGGACGGGGAAAGATAGTATTAACCGATAATGTTTGAGAAAAGTAACAAATAAGGGGGAAAAGAAAATGGGAAGTATAGCGAGTGTGATTTGGCTTTGTTTAATTCTTTGTCCATTTTTACTTATACTAGTAATTACGAATATATATTTATGACACTTCTAACAATAACAAATAATTATTTTTCTACTTGTGTTTTGTAATATTTGAACCTATAATTCTTTTTATATTTATTTCTATCAAATAAATATTATTTCGTGTCATGTCCGTTCTTGTACTCAATAAAGTCTCGAAAATATTAGGCCCGCCACAGCCCACTTATATATTGTGCCGTGCCCGTGCTCGTGCCCATGAAGTTTAGGCCCGACACGGCCCATAAATTATTCGTGCTCGTGCCGGGCTGGCCCATTTATTTCGTGCTCGTGTCGTGCTCTAAACGTGCCGTGCCATGCTAGCCCGTGGGCGGCACGGCCTGGTGCCCACATACAGATGAGACTATGCTTTGAGAGCCAGTCAACGACTCTATTCCCTTCGTGGTATACATGGGTGATGCAAACCAACCAATCCTGACTAAGTCTCCTTCGAATCACGGCTAACAGAGTCACATGCGGGTGGACGTTCTGTCTGCTCTCGATGAGTTGTGCCGCCAGCTGGGAATCAGATTCCACTCTAATGGCGCGGTAGCCACTCTTCCAAGCCATCTCTAAGCCATAAAAAACCGCCCAAAGCTCTGCAAGAATAGTAGTGGCCGAGCCAATATTGGCTACAAAGCCGGCCTTCCAATTACCCGTGTTGTCTCGAAGAATGCCTCCCGCTCAAGCGGGGCCGGGATTTCCATTTGACGCACCATCAACATTCAGGGTCAGCCAACCATTAGGAGGAGGTGGCCAACCTACCTGCGCACTCACACGAGAGGGAGCCTGAAGCGAACCTACCTGCAGTTTGGAGGGCGCTCGCCAAGCTTCATCCCAAAGTTTGGTCTTCGCCAGATCAAATGCGCCAAATAGGGAGGGGAAAGGGCCGCTCCAATCCCTTGGAAACAGACCATACACCGGTTCTTCCAAATCAACCACACCGCGATGCTGAAGAAAGTCGCCCAGCTTATACTGGAGTCCATAGTATAATCATTGGAGAGGTTGTGCCGCAACCATTCCCCCTGGCCAATATTGAAAAACAGGTGTTGCTGATGACCAGGGACGCCACGAGTCCAAAATAATCTCGGTGGAGGACAGTCGCGCAGGATGTGCAGTGCAGTTTCCGGGCAGCCTTCACATCTCAAGCAAAAAGGGTTCTCCGCCACTTTCCTATGGAACAAAAGCAGCTTGGTGGCCACCTTGTCCAGCAGGAGCATCCACATGAAACTTCTAACTCGTTCCAAAACTGGCAGCCTCCAAAGAATCCTCCAGTACTTCTCATCGGGATCCGTCGATCGCTGATTGAGAAGAGAATAAGCTGTTTTCACCGAGAACCTTCCATAGGCAGCGGCAGACCAGAACATGGTGTCTTCTTCTACTGACAACTTGTCCACGACAATGCTAAGAATCTTCCCAAGGACCTCGAAAGGGAGCAGATCCGCAAACAACTCCGTACGCCAAAGACCATCCTCAGTAACAAAATCCGCCACTCGAGCATTCTCCAAATCCTCCGGAATAGTGTCCATGGCCACATCTTTGAGGGGAACCTGCAAAACCCAAACATCAAGCCAGAATTTAGTATGCCTCCCATTCTTGATGTTCCACGCACAACCCTTCCGCAGAAGGTTCGCAGCTTTCGAGAAGCTAGCCCAAGTAAAGGAACTTCCCTGAATAGGTCGAAGAAGATCAAGATCCTCCTTTGACTTCCCATACTTGGCCCGCATAAGCTCGGTCCAGAGGCAGTCTTTATCCTTGATCAACCGTCAGCCTCCCTTAGCGAGCATGGAGAGGTTAGCATGTCGAATCGATCGAAGCCCAGCCACTCCTTGGGTTTTTGGAAGGACCATCTTTTCCCAAGCCACCAGGTGCATCTTGTTCTTGTTCTCTTCCCCACCCCAAACGAAGTCTCTATTCAACCTGTCAATACTGTTGCAAACTCCTCGCGAAATGAGCTTCGTGTTCATGTGATAAGTGGGAATAGATGTAGTAACCGATTGAGCCACCGTGAGCCTATCCGTCAAGGAGAGACGCCTCGCTTTCCAAGGGGCCAACTTCCTCTGGATACGAAGGATCAAATTCTGGTATCTCCCTTTAGTCACCCTCCCATGAATGCCCTAGCTCGCTTTTCAAAGGAATACTCGCTCTCCTGCTTAAACTGGATGCCTTGTCTTTGTTGATGTTTGGAGACACATACATTAACGACTTTGCATAGTTGACCCGCTGCCCGCTGATCCGGATTTGACGTGTCTCTGCTTCGGCAAAAAGCAGCAAGTCATCTGCAAAAAACAAATGGGTAAGCTGGGGACCATTACTAGAAAGCTTAAGAGCTTTCCACTCCCCGTTACGAACAACAGCATCAATCATATGAGACAGACGTTCCATGCACAGAACAAAAAGATAAGGAGAGAGTGGATCTCTCTGGCGAACTCCGCGGGAAGGGGATATGGGCGAGGAGAGCTGACCATTCCACAGAATCCTCATTCGGTTCTGCTCCACGCAGTACATGATACATCTGATCCAATCACTGGGCAGGCCGACCTCTTTCAGGGTGTCCCTAAGGAAATCCCAACGGAGCATGTCGCATGCTTTCTCGAGTTCGATCTTGAGCACTAAACCTCCTTTCCTGCCTTTCTTCTTCTTGAGGGTGTGGAGAACCTCTTGAACCACAATGATGTTATCCGTCGTTTGGCTTCCCGGTATGAAACTGCTCTGGCGAGGAGACACCAATTTCCTCATCACCGGCTTGAGGTGGTTGGTCATGGCTTTGGTGATGGCCTTCAAGCTAACATTGTTGAGCGAGATGGGGTGCAACTGGGTCACCAACTCAGGGTTATCCGCTTTCGGAATAAGCACTACTGTGGAATCAAAGATCGTCGTCGGCAGGGTTCCAGAGGAGAAAAAGTTAATTGCCATGTCTATCAAGGTTTTCCCTATAGTTCTTCAACAGAGCTGGTAGAAGACCGCCTGAAAACCATCAGGACCCGGAGCTTGAAGAGGCTTCATGTCAAAGATGGCCTTGTGGATGTCCAATGATATTGAAGGGCCGGAGGAGCATCATCATTTCATTCTGCGTGAGACAAGGGAAGGCCCCTTTCGGCAACTTGTCTTCATAAGGGGACTCATCCTGCGTGTACAAATTAGCATAATACTCGAAAACGAAAGAGGCAAGGATATTCAGATCATCGATCCATGTACCATTCGCATCTCTTAACGCCTCGATCTTGTTACGCCTCCGTCTAATGTTGACCTGATGATGAAAATAGGAAGTATTCCTCTCCCCAAACTTCACCCAGTTCTCTCTAGCTCTCTGAAACCATTTGGTGCACACAGATCTGAGTGTGTACCATAGCGAAATTGGAGGGAACATACTATGAGTACACAGGGAAAGACGATAAAGCGTTTAAAGGGTGTCCAACCGTAACTTCATGGCATAGGCACTAAGAAAACGCACTATGAGTACCTATTGTTGGTGTCTGAATTTTTTTCTTACGAAGAATCCCTTCGACAGCTATCACATTCAGTGATGTCATCGCCGTCAAGTAAACTTTGGGGCAATCGACCTTCAGATAAGGATGCAACTAAAATGCAACTCAAACGGTTTATACACCAACTAATAGATGGCGTGAACAAACACACGAGACCAAACCAACCGAACCAACCGTCCCACCAGATTGATAAATTTATAATTCTTCATATAGAAAATTAGCTTCAAACCACTCTTAGAAAAGATGCACAAGCTTCCCAAATGTTGATCAGCTCCCAGTTCCAACACAAATGCAAACAATACATACATGACACAAGAAGAATAAGAACTTGGCTCCTTTGGCTAATTTGGACAGAGACAGCAGAATACTTTGCTGCACTGGGACAACTTCTGATCTTCACAAAGGTAAAAATTTCCCCCAAATTTGAGCTCTTCCATCTCATCCAAGTCAGAAAGAAAGGACACAACTTTCATTAGGATCAAAATCACGACCAGCAAGCAGGCAGGCAGCAGCTCTCCGCTTTGGTTCCCATTCGAGTAGAATCAGTTCTTCATCCCAGTTGGAAGAAGCAGCAGCTAGGTGGGAGGGGTTGCAAGTTGCATCAGTGTAGACATCAGATCAGTAGAGTGATTCGCCATAGATCTTCTCTCGGTCTTTTTACAGCAGGACCAAGGAAATAAGGAGTTGGAGCTTGCCCTGGAAGAGAGAAAATTCATGTCAGCAAGGAAATTTCTGCAGCCAACAAAATGCCATTCAAGCAAATGTACTTATCGTCATTCACCTATATCTCCAGAAACTCTACATCGCAAGAAAGCAAACATGGAACCCAGAACCCACCATTCACATAAACCATCTGATCTTCGCTGCAGTCTTCAGACCCTCAAGTTCATGAAATCAATCTAACCGCTTAAGCTTAACTGTCTTCAAGTGTTTGGACTTGACAGCAACTTTTGGAGCTTTTTTCTCCATATGCATCTTTCAAATACTCCTTGCACAAATCCCCTCTCCAACATGTTGTCTATAGCGATACGATATCACTGTCTTTGCTACAAACTCCACCGCAGCTCCGGAATCTGGACCACATCTTTGGGCGCGAATTGTTCTCTCTACGTAACAGCTCCAATCTCTCATGCTAAGATTTTACGATCGGATCACTCATCTTCGCGTCTTCAGCCTTTCATCAATCTTTAGATATGTTGACCCCTCCAATCTCTCAATCCCCGTAACTTCTGTCAACTGATTGCATCCAATAATTGCCAACTTCCACAAGCGCTTCGAAGCAGATAGATCAGGCAGCTTCTCAATCCAAGGGCAATCACAAATCACCAATTCTTGCAATGACTTCAAATTGTCAAGCCCCATCACCTCAGTCAACTCTCTCCATCCCGTAATCTCCAACTTCCTCAAGAGCTCCAAAGCAGATAGATCCGGCAGCTTCTCAATCGAAGGGCAATCATGAATCTCCAATACTCGCAACGACTTCAATTTGTCAAGCCCGACCACCTCAGTCAACTGATCACATCTTAGGATATGTAGAGTTGATAATTCCGCCAGTTCGCCAAGCCCTTGAATTTCAGAGACAAGTGGACAATCAAAGATCCTGAGCACCTGTAACTTGGTCAAATTTGACAAGCTAGGCAGTTCTCTCAGTTCAGGACATTTAAAGATCTTGAGCTCCCGTAACATGCTCATATTTGAGAAGCTGGGCAGTTTACTCAGTACACAACAATCACTCACCCGCAAATCCTTCAGAAGCTCTAGAGGTTCGAGGCCATCGAGATTAGTTAGATTTGAAGCACTCCATAAGCTGAAGTCCTCCAGCATCCTCAGCTCTCCGAGACCGGCGATCTCACGTATCCCAACACGACCCAAAGTTAATTTCAACAAATTACTCAGATTCGCTAGGTTCGGCAGTTTCATCAAAAGCCCGGGGGCATCACCATCGATCGATAGGGTATTTAGAGATGCCGGAAGAGCAGGCAAGGAAGAAATAAGAGTTCTCCCACCGCGCCGTAGAGAATAATGATTCTGGTTGTCGGGATCAACTGATTCTTTGTGAAGAACAAAGGCATCCTTCCCATTGCCAACCTTCACCAACGTCAGATCCTTCAACTTGGACAGCTTCGACATATCCTCGGGAATCTCAAGTCCACAACTCCACCATAGCTCCTCCAAGTCCTTGAGCTCCAAAAGATTTGGAACCCTAGGCGATGAGACGGATAGACGCTTTAAACTAGTTGGGAGTACTGGTACTTCATTCTCAAGCCGCCCTAGTACCAAGATCTTAAGGGAGGAAAGTTTACCAATGCTAGCAGGAATTTCTCTCAAGAGCGTCAAATCTACATTGATCTCTCGCAGATTCCGAAGGCTTCCAATGTCGCCTATTAACTTTGTGATCTTAGTCCAGCCAATGCTTAGCACTCTCAGATCCTTCAAATGGCCAATGTGAAGTTCCCCGCCCATGTTCGGGCAACTCCCAAAATTTATCTGTTCTAGACTTGTACATCCGAACAAATCCGGGACTTTTGTCACATTGAAGCTGCGCGATACATCTATAGCTTTCAGCCTGTGTCCCTCCTAGATCATGACAACACACCAGTAACAAAAATAAGTTCCAAGGATAATCATTAAACTAGATGTGCCAGCTAACATAGATTTGTACTCTTCCAAGAAAAAATAAATGTAAGAACTTTTGAATGTGAAATTTACACTGTAGGTAGACAGAAATGGGTCATCACGTTAATTATAGAAGTATTGAAAAACCGAAAATCTCTCATCGAAATCTCCAATTCCAGATATCACATAAACATAAATTTAATCTTCATAAATATGAAATGAAGTAGGAACATTAATAACCTTGATTCTCTCCCAGCATCTCCAGTCATCTCTTACAGGGCAATCTCTCAAGTCCAGAATTACCAATTTCTTAACATTGAAATCGATAGGGATTGACCTGCAATTAAATAGTCGCAGCCAACGTAGACTCGGAAGAATCTCCTTGAAATCTCCAGTCAGCTTTCCATAGCGCACTTCGAGATACCTTAACCCTGACAATTTATGAAATTCCTTCTCCGTGAGCTCAAATTTATGATCTAACATGTCCACTCTAAGAACTTCCAACCGCTCAGTTCCCTGTTAAAATGAAATCATACCCACAAAACCTTTAGATCCTATCTTAACTCTTAAGTAATCATAATCACATAGGAAAAGGGAAGGAGGTAGGAGAATATCAAATGGAACAACCAGTAATCTTATGAATTTGAACATCACGAACTTAATAATGAAAAATGTCATGTACTATTTGTCCCTAAATAGTTAAGAACTTTGTAGCATTCTTATATAGAAACATTACAAGAAACAGAATACCTCTCCATTGATTAACATGTCCACCGCATCCTCGTTGGACATAATTCTTGTCCGCTTCCAAGGATGTTGATCATCTCCTTCACGGACAATCATTCTCCCAAGGTCTCTTATATGGTCATGCATCCAAAACTTATTATCCTCATCCACCTTTATCAAGGACCTCAAAACAAGTGTATTAATTCCACTTTCAGGATTAAAATTACAATCACTCCACATAAAGAAAGGCAATTCCTTGTTTTCTCCGATAAAAGCACAAGCTATGTCGAGAAAAATTTGTTTTTCACTACCACTCAACTCATCATAGCTTATCTTCAATCTCTCTTGCACCTTGGTGGGAGGTATTCTTTTTAGTTCTATCAACTTAGCTTCCCAGAATTTTCTATCTCTACGAAACAAAAGCGACCCAATAACTTCAAGAGCCAAAGGAAGCCCCGCTGCAACTTCTACAAACTCCTCACACAGGGTCGCCATGTCTTCAAAAGGATTATCCATTCTAAACGCATGTCTACGTATTAGTTGAAGGGAATGGTCATGACCCAACCCTCCAGGTTCGTAGAGCTTAGATACTTGAAGCAACTCTAGTACCCTTTTATCTCTTGTTGTGATGATAAACCTACTTTCAGGAGAAAATTTTCTTACTTCACCAAGGATTTGCTCAAACACAAACCGATCATCCACATCATCGAGAATAATGAGAACCTTGTGGGGGCACACTCTATCTTTCATAATGTGGATTCCTTCACTGGCATTTCTAACCTTGTGATCATCCCTTAGAATGCTAGAAATAATCTTACTCTGCAGAGTTGTAACGCCGTCATTCTTCAACGATAGTGTTTCTCGGACATCTTCCAGAAAACAGTGACGCTCGAATTGTGTGAAGACCTTATTATAGACAGCCTTGGCGATAGTGGTCTTACCGATACCGCCCATACCATGAATGCCGACGACACTAGCGCCGCAGTCAAAATCTGATTTCAGCAACTCTATCACTTGGTTAACATGAGAATCAATTCCAATCAACTCATTAGTCACTAACATGTAGTTCCCCTTTATATGTGACCACACCTCAGAGAAAACACTTTCTGCCACTGCTCCCTGTCTGGAAATTAAACACAAGCTTGTATGTCAGCTGCAGATACAAGGTGGTTTCACATGTAGTATTCAATATCAATCAAACACATGCAGCCAAGTCCATGAATTGAAAACACAGAGAAAACTGCATTACCTATCCGAGTCAGTCACGCGCCATCCAGTCATTTGCCCGACCTCTCCGAGAGCATCCTTCCAGGCCCTAATGGATTCTTCACCATATTTCAATCTATGTTGTTCTAATGCTCCCTCATAGGAACCCTGACAATGCCGCACATCTCTAGGCTCCATCAAAAAGAAAATGGGCAGTATGATGTGACAACCTTCATCTTGCTTGTAACGTTCCACCATCAGAGCTAGCTCCTGGAGGCACCATTTGCTAGAGGCATAGCCTGGGGAAAGGATCGGGATGTATATTATGGATTCCCCAATTGCCTTGACGAGAGAAGGGGCAATCTTCTCCCCCTTACGTAGCTCTTCATCGTCAAGAAAGGTTCGTATCTTGGGACGATCCAGGAGTCTATAGAGGAAATCCGCGAAAGTCGTGCGGACATCAGGACCTCGAAAGCTCAGGAACACCTCGTACTCTACAGCTGGAAGAGGATCCGGGAAATGGGATGACGAGGCGATAGGATTCAGCCTGAATTGCTCCATCTTCTTCTACAGATGAAACAACATAATGAATTTCCAAGAGATTGGAAAATGGAAACCACACCATCGTGAAACTTAATAGGAAGCAGAAAAACAACAATCTGGGAAACGTCACCTGAAATAAGTTCGAAGGACAAAGCTAGGCTCCTTCAGGAAGGTAATGTTATCAGTAACAGAAACTCTTAGAAGTTGATTGCTAATTGATTTGGGAGACAAATGAATTAGAGGGCTCGAAGAAAGAATATAGCAAAAGTTGCGAAGACTTTTGACAACAACTGGTAATTGAAGACTGATTCAAAGCAAAGTCAAGAGTTGACTTTGGAGAGTAGGTGAATGTACATTCCTGAAATTTTCCTGATAAATGCAATAATGTTGCATCTGCCCATACTTGCACTCATCAATAATTAACTCCTACTGTCCTACAGATTTCAAAGACCAGATAGATTACTAGTCGTCATTCTGAACTCGGTACTGGTCTTTCTTGTGCGCCTTTAGCCTTTCATCAGGCTAGGATATCTAAAGACTCCAATCTCTCAATCCTGATAACTTCAGTCAACAGATTGCGATGCGTAATTTTCAACTCCCACAAGCCACAAGTACTTTAAAGCAGAAAGATTAGGCAGCTTCTTAACCGACCCACAATCATTAATCTCCACTTTCTGCAATAACTTCAGTTCGTTAAGCCCCATCAACCCAGTAAGCTGATGAAATTCATAGATCAAAAGGCAACGTGTAGCAAATGTGAACTTCTCAGCCCATCATAAGACAATGCCTGAAATTTTCCATTCTAGATTTCTACATCCAAGACAAATCTGGAACTTCTCTCACGCCACTGCAAAACGATACATTAATAGCTTTCAGCCTGCAAGCCCCATGCAATCACCCGCCACCCTGTCGCTCCCTTGCTCCAACAATTGGAGCCAGCGGCAACAACAGGAGCATCGAAACAGACAAACTTCCCGGCAGCACGAACCAGACCTTTCACGAGCAACGCTCGTTCCAAACCCTCGCTGGAATCGCTCCCCCGAGCATCTCCAACAATCCCTGCGGCTGCTCGGGGTATTAACTGAGGAACAAGGCAGTTATATTAAGAGCAGCAGCAGCTTATTGATTAAGTGAAACGTTCATCAGAAGAAATAAGACAAATGAACGTTCGTTTCAAATAAAAGTAAAGAGTTGACTATGGGGGTAGGTGAATGAAGTACATTCCTGAAATCTGTTCCTCCAGATTTCTAAGACCATATAGATTACTAGTTGTTCATGGGATTCCAGGCTCAAGAAATAAGAGTCAACCAGAATGCACCTGATAAGGAACAAGATAATTAATCGGCATTGATTTCAATGCTTCGTTTTACCCTCTTTTTACCCTTACACGTATTTAGTCTTTCATCAAGCGTTCGGATATATAAAGACTCCAATCTCTCAATCCCAATAACTTCTGGCAACAGATTGCATCGCGTAATTTTCAACTTCAACAAGTGCTTCAAAACAGATAGATCAGGCAGCTTCTTAATCGACGCACAATCATAAATATTCAATTCTTGCAACGACTCCAATTTGTTAAGCCCCATCAACCCAGTAAGCTGATGGCATCGAGTGATCCCAAGACTCGATAAATCCGCCAGTCCACCAAGTCCTTGGATTTCAGAGAGGAGTGGACAATCAACGATATAAAGCACCCGTAACCTGTTCAAATTTGACAGGCTGGGTAGTTTTCTCAATACACCACAACCAGATACACAAAGTTCTTCTAAAAGCTTTAGATGTTCAAGACCATTGAGATTAGTTAGCTTTGAAGCGTCCTTTAAATGGAATTCTTCCAGCATTCTCAGCTCTCCCAGACCGGCAATCTCATGCACCCCAAAATGACTCAAATCTAATATCATCAAATTACTCAGATTCGCAAAGTTCGGAAGTCTCTTCAAAAGCTGACACCCACTAATCCGTAGGGTTTTCAGAGATGATGGGAAGGTAGGAGAAGAAGAAATAAATGTTCTCATACCAAGTCGTCGAACAAGGGCACCCTTCCCATTCCCAACATCGGTCAACGACAAATGCTTCAACTTGGACAGCTTCGACATATCCCCAGTAATCTCAAGTCCATCACAATTCAAAGATAGCATCTCCAAGTGCTTAAGCTCCAAAAGATTCAAAACTCTAGGCGACGAGAGCCATAGCCTCTTTAAACTTGTGGGGAGTTCTGGCACTTCAATCTTAAGTCCTAGTAGGTTCAAGTTCTCGAGGGAGGATAGTTTACCAATGGCAGCAGGAATTTCTCTCAAGCTCCGGTCATTTAGCATTATCTCTCGCAGATTCTGAAACCTTCCAATGTCACCTGTTAACTTTGTTATCTTAGTGTTGCAAACATGTAGCAATCTCAGATCCTTGAAATTGCCAATGTGAAGTTCCCCACCCATCATAAGACAATGCCTGAAATTTATCCATTCTAGATTTCTACATCCGAACAAATTCGGAACTTCTCTCATGTCATTGCAACATGACATATTTATAGCCTTCAGCCTGCAAGCCTCCTGAATCATGAAAACATGGCAATAAAAGAATATGTTATTGGGATAATTGTTAAACAAGATACACTGCTACAATTGACAAATGTTGTTGTTTTTTTTTTTTTTTTAAGAAAAGATAAATGTTGAAACGTTTGAATGCGTGAATTTGTAATGTAGATGGTTAGAGGTGGATCGACTCATTAACTACGAAAGTATTTTGGGACTGAAGATACCTCATCCAAAAATGGATTTGAGAAATCACCAAATACAGATTCTATCGTAATTTCTGACATAGATGGGTTGTGGTCAACCATTCCTGATATGGCCTAATTTTATCATCATAAAGATGGAATTAAGTAAGACAACTACTAACCTTTATTCCGCTCCAGCTTCTCCAGTCATCCCTCACAGGGCAATTCTTCAAATCAAGGATCACCAATTTCTTCACATTGAAATCGATAGGGATTGAACTACATTCCTGAAGTTGTAGCCAACGTACATTGGGAAGAATCTTCTTGAAATCTCCAGTCAGCTTTCCAAAGCATACTTCGAGATATCTTAATCCTGACAATTTCTGGAATTCCTTCTCCGTGAGCTCAAAATCCTCACCACTCATGTTAACTCTAAGAACTTCCAGCCGTTCATTTCCCTGTTAAGATGAAAATTTGAAGTGCCATAGTGATGTATTCTGTCTAAAATAAATTTGAAGTGCAATCCATAATTTTGTCAAGGAAAACCACAATAATGTAGATAATACCTCTTTATCTCTTAGCATGTCCACCACATCCTTGTTGGACCACATCCTGCTGCGCTTCCAAGGATTTAGAATGTCTTCCTCACGAACAATAGCTCTGCCAAGGATTTTATACTGATCGTGCATCCAGAATTCATTTCTCTCATTGACTTTTATCAGTGACTTGAGACAAAGAGTATCAATCACTATCAAAGGGTGTAAATTGGAGTCACTCCACAAGCAGGACAATCGATCATAGGGTTCACCAATAAAATAACAAGCAATATCAAGAAAAATGTGTTTTTCCTCGGGCGTCAAGTCCATATAGATTATCTTCAGTCTCTCTTGCACCTTGGTAGGAGGTATGTCCTGTAACTGCATCAACTTTGCACTCCAAAAACTTTTATCTTTGCGGAAAAGTAGTGAACCTGTGGTCTTGAGAGCCAATGGAAGACCTGCTGCAATTTCTACAAAGTCCCTAGATAGATCAATGTACTCTTGGGGAGGATAATCAGTCCCAAAGGCATGTCTACTAAAGAGTTTAAGGGCGATATCAGCAGTCATTCCCTCTGGTTGGTACAACTCATAATTTTGAAAGAAATTAAAAACTCTCTCATCCACTGCTGTAATAATAAATTGACATTTTGACTGAAAATCAGTTAAATCTCCCAAGGTGTCGACGAACAAAAACCCCTCATCTATGTTATCAAGAACGAAGAGCATGCTCTTCGAGCAGCGAACTACATCTTTTAGTTTTTGGATTCCTTGGCTAGCATCTCTCACGGCGACATCTCGCCTTAGAATGCCAGATAGAATTTTGTTTTGCAAAGTCACAACTCCGTCATTCTTTGACAATATGTCTCGCACGTCTTCCACAAAGCAGCATCGATCAAACTGTGCATTAACACTGTCGTAAACGGTTTTGGCTATATTGGTCTTACCAATACCGCTCATACCTTGAATGCCAACAATTTGCACTCCTTTGTTTATTATCCCCTTCACTTGCTCAATATGAGGATCAATTCCAACCAGCTGACCCGTCACTAACTTGTAATTCTCCATCAGATGCGACCTCACCATAGAAAAGACTTCAGCAACTATAGCTCCCTGTCTGGAAATCGTATACATGTCACGTATATGAACACGTTAAAGCATCAAAGGCAATCAAATTATAGGGTTTACTAACTCTGTCCTACTTTGATCTGTGAAACTATTCGGAGTATGGTCAACGTCCGTGAATACATAAGTAACCATCATTTCTATAATTTATGGGTAAACCAGAAAAGTTACCTATCTGCTTCAGTCACATGCCACCCCTTCATTTTCCCAACTTCCTCCATAGCTTCCTTCCACTCGTTCACGGTGTCTGCATCATATTTCTCACTGTGTCGTCGAAATGCTTTCTTGTAACAACCTTCTTGATGCCGCACCTCTCTAGGATTCACCAGAAAGAAAATGGGGAGGATGAGGTGACCCTTTCCTTGCTTCCAGCACTTCACCATCAGAGCTAGCTCTTGGAGGCACCATTTACTTGAAGCATAGTCTTTGGAAAGGATCGGAATGTATATCTTGGATTCCTGGATAGCCTTCACGAGAGAAGCCCTAATTTCCTCCCCCTTGGGAAGCTCTTCTTCATCTATAAATGTTCGAATGCTCGAATGATCCAGGTAACGATACAGAAAATCCGTGAAGGTTGTGCGAACATCTGGGCCTCTGAAGCTCAAGAAAACCTCGTAGTCTGCAGCTGGAAGAGGCTGCATCGAAGGAGGATGAGATGAAGAGGTGGAGGTTCTGGAGCTTTTCTTTTGAAGTAAGAGTACTGCTCCAGCGACTGCAAACACAGCCAGTACACTAGACCAGATGTGCTCCATTCGTTTCCGGCCAAATCGATCTCTGTGGATGATAAATATAAGTAAAAATTTCGTGTTACCCACAAAGCCTCAAAAGACTGGAAACACAAACCACCACAGTGACACTTACAGATCTGAGGGCTTACCCAAACGTAATCCGGAGAACCAATGCAGTCTCTTTAGGAATCGATCGGAAACTCTTGAATTCCTGATGATTTGGAACGAGCAGGGAGTGAAAGAAGTAGAGAAGGTTGAGTACCAATGACGAATCCAAAGCAAATAAAAGAAGAAAAAATGCAAACAATGACTACAGACAGCAAAAGCTAACCAAGGAACCGCTAGCTAAAAGTAATGTAAACAATGACCACTGGAATGAACATCAAAATAAAAGTAAACAACGACCATTGATGATATAAAACGTCAAGAGTGAACATCAAAGGAAATGCAGGGCATAGTCATTCCAACAACCAAGAGTTGACTGATAATCTACAAATGTGCTTCCAGGAAAAGTACACAAACGTGCTTCCAGGAAAGGTTACTTGGTAGATTATTCTACGAGCATAAAGCTTTTAGATGAAAGTCCACAAACGTGTATTAAGGAACCAAACGGCACAAAGGTTTTCCTTCCACAAACGAGTAGGTTGCATACAATTTTGTTGACGATTTCAACCAATCACCAACCCCTCCAAGTTCTCAGTGCCAGTAACTCATCTTCCGCTCTCGCAACCACTACAAGTTTTCGAGCCCCACCACGACGGTTAACTCATTGCGTTCACTGATATCTAAAGCAGCCAGATTCTCTAAACCAGATAAATCTAGCAGCAACTTCATTGAACCAGCAGCCTGCCAATGCTTGAGCAATCTTCGCGGCTCCAACATCTCAAGCCCCCACAAACTCAGTCAGCCGTATGACACTACACCGCAATGAGTCCAGACTCGCGAATCGAAACAAAATCTGGCAACTGGGCGATCGATTGGCAATCGATCATGCTGAGTGATCTCAACAACACTCTGAACTCTCAGGCATCGATTTCCAACAGTGTGCACACTCGTCGATAATCAAATTCCTCCAGATTTCCAAGAACAGATAGATCCGGCAAGTCCCTAATCGATTTGCAGCCTGACATATCAAAGCAAACAAACGGCTGGGCTTCTATGCAAGAAGCCATTCAATCAGTCTCCCAAAATTGGTAGAACTTCTGCCGGAGAATGGGGCACTAGTCCTTCACCTGGCTGGAGTGTAGAGTAATCGAGCAAAACCATGGTACTTCGCTGTGGAACGGATGATTCCCTCCGTCCATAAGTATGACCCAGCAAGGGAAAGCCCGCGCCGTCGCCCGGAGCTCCGCTTCCAGGATTAAGATAGTCCCGAAAACCGGCAACCAGCGGCCAACCGATTAATCGGGGTTGGACTTTGGAGTTGGGTCGGTGTGTAGATATTTGGGCCAAAAGGAAGCCCGGCCCAATAGTGTTTCAATTTATCATGGAGCATTGGCTCGAATGAATAACGACTCCAAATCTTTCAACTCCTGTAACTTCAGTCAACTGTCTGCATCCTGCCCTAACATGCAACGTAACCAAATCCTTGAAACAAGATTGATCTGACGATTCGATTTGGTAATCAACGTGAGAATTACGCAAACAAAATAGGCAAGCGACTCGAATATCTGAGCGAGTCAATGCAGTAATATGCTAAATGCTAACAAACAACCACTGAAATCTAAACAACCATAAAATTGGGAGCTCTTCATTGATGTGCAGCCGGACGCGTTGATCGTTCCAAATGACGCCAAATTTCTCGAGCAATGCAGCCTCCCCGGAGGCATAACGACTGCAGCGATTCCAGTCTCTCGAACCAATTTCACCTTCAGTCAACAGCTTGCCACCAATAATTTACACAGGTCATCATGTATATTCTACATATAAGAGAATCAGGGATTAGTTCTGGTCTCAGTCCAGAGATGACATGCAGATTGGAACATAAATTGGGGTTTTGATTTATGGGCGCAGGTCAATGTCAAAGAAGGCATGAACCCCATTGCAAGAAAGTTCGTTTTGGTTTGGTTATGCCTCCAAATTTTAGAACCAGACCTGCAGTGGTAGTGCTTAAACATGTTAACCGAATGGAGCAAGAATGCAGCTGAGGAAAAGTAATATCTTAGACACAGACATGGATCAACCTGAATCAAGTTAACAAAAATAAATCCTAAACACAAGTAAGATATAGCTAGCTACAAACCTTAATTCCTTGGAGCCCTAAGCAAGGCATTAATGGGTGTTGGCCGATCTATTTCGACAATATGGGCAGAGTGGATATTCATGCTTTGCCACCAGCAAGCCATCCACCAACAGACAAATGAACAACTTCAATTTCTCCACTCCAGTAAGTATGCATCCAATAAAATTAAGCTTGAACAAGTGTTTGAGCCGTGATAAATCCAGCAACTTTGTAATCGATGCCCAAGTACCCAGACCTAGCCAGTCTAATGACTCCAAATTCTCAAGGCCAGTTACCTCTGCCAATTGTGTGCCCAAAGATCTCTAGTAACCTTAGATTCTTTAGACCAGAAAGATCTAGCTTACTTCCAGATTGACTTGCAGCTAGACAGGCACAAAGTTCTCGATTCCGCTGATCTTAATCAAGTGTTTGCAAGTGATGACAGACAACTCAGCCATGCTAAGCAGACCAGAGACATCAAGGATTAGTTCTGGTGACAACAGATGACAATCGCTGCACGGAAGGTTCCATTGGCTGAGTATGAGTTAACCCCAATCGTTCTGGTGCTTCCAAACACGGAAGGCCAGAAGGCTTTATATGCCTGCTGATTTACAGACGGGAGAAAGACTCCTCCAAGTCGCCCAAGCTTGAGATTTCAGAGACAAGGCCACTGGATTTTATATCGACTCTGTCTAACTTGGTCAAATCATATAGATTGGGTAGTCTCTCCTGTACATCACAAACTATCTTCATAAGCAGGAGATGTTGTTTTAGGCCATCAAGATAGAGAGCCTCAGATATCGCCAAAGTTTCCAACATTCTCAACCCCCGACCAGGAATCTCACATATACATTGGGACAAGTCAGGAGCTTCTTCTAAGTCCATGCAGTCCCATAAATGTACAGATCTCAGCTTCTGCACCACCTACATTATGAAAACACACACGTACTTGTTTACACCTATAATATAACAAATGGATCACAAAAATACTAAATTTCAATCGATTTATATTGCCTTCATATTTTTCCAGCCTCTCCAGTCATCTTGGATTTGATCAACTGAACATATCGAAATTTACTAATCTCTTCGAATCTAAATCAATGGAGATCAAACTGCATTTATTCAGTCAGAGCCAATGTATATTTGTAGGAATTCCCACGAAATCCCCCATCAAACATCCACCAGGTACTTCAAGATACCTTAATCCTGACAATTTCACAAATTTTCTATATGTGAGTTCCAAATCCTTATCTTCAATTTCAACTCTAAGCACTTGCAATTGGTTCATTCCAATTTCCCTGTAAAATAACTGAACACTTGAAAAGGTATTAGAAGAAGAAAAAACAGTTGCATGTTCTGCCAAAAAGATGATAAACCAATCCAAAGGACTGATTGCAGATGAATAATACCTTTGCATCTGTCAGCGTGTCCAAAGCATCTTCCTTAGACCATATCCTGCTACGTTTCCATGGACTCATCTTCCTTAGACTCATCTTCAAGGTTTCCTGCACTTCTGATGGAAGAATGTCATTGATTTGTTTCAGCTTTGCTTTCCAGAAACTTTTATCCTTGCGACAAAATAAGAGTGATCCAATGACCATAAGAGCCAAAGGGAGACCTGCTGCAACTTCTATGAACTCTTTGGACAAAGCAATTTAATCTGTTTTGTTGGTATTCCGAAGGCATATCTACTAAAAAGTTGAAGTGAATGATCACTCATTTCTTCGGGTTTATACGACTTATATTGTTTAGTTTTACCTAAAACTTTGCCAAGCTTAAACCTATGATCTGCACCATCAAGAATTATAAGAACCTTTTGTTTGCAGATTCTTTGCTTTACTATGTGAATGCCTTCATTTTCGTCTTGAACCTTGTGATTGTGCCTCAGAATGCTAGAAGTAATTTTACTCGGCAAATTCACAATACCATCCATCCTCGACAGCATTTCTCTAACATTTTCCATAAAGGCAGTGATCAAACTGCACAGATATTTTGTTGTAGACAGCCTCAGCTATAGTGGTCTCGCTGATTCCACCCCATCCCATGAATTCCAATATCACGCTCATCTCCATCGTCCAGCTCTGGTAGTTCTGTCATTATCTCGACATGAACATCAATTCCAATCAACCCATCCGCCACTAACATGTAATGCTCTGTCAAATGTGACCAGACCTCAGAGAAAACCTTATTTACAGCAGCTCCCTGCCTGGAAATTTAACATGAGTGTGCAACTGAATAAATAACGTAAGCTTCAGATGTGATTGTTCCGAATAGTTTCCTCTCAATTCTTTACGTGAAATTGCAACTGCAATAGCTCAAGACATCCGTATATAGAGATGATAGATGCAAGGGTAAAATCCAGGTGTTATATAGGAGAGTACATATAAATTTATGCATGGATATATTTACATACGAGGATGAGGAAAATCCATTACCCATCTGACGCAGTGCCGTGATATCCTTTCATTTGCCCAACCTTCAGAAGGGCTTCCTTCCATCCCTTAATTGTATCAGCGTCGCACTTCTTACTATGCAGTTCAAATTATTTCTCATACGAACCTTGTTGATGCCACACAGCTTCAGGCTCCACCAAATAGAAAATAGGCATAATGAGGTTGCCCTCCTCTGGCTTGCAGCACTTTACCATCTCAACTAGCTCCTGAAAGCACCACTTACTAGAAGCATATTTCAAGGAAGCACTCATAGTTCAGCATATTATTGTTCAGCATATATATGATACTTTTTGCAAAAATTCGAGTGTTCTACTGGTATTTGTCCTATTAGTATGTACCAAAAGAAGGAAACACCGCCATTGCCGTTTCCCTTTCCACCAATGACCTGTATAGAAATGCAGAGGCAATGGAAGTCTTATCTACAAATATCCCCATATTTGAGCTCTGCCATCACATCCCAAGTCAGAAAGAAAGAGCGGAACTTTCATTAAAAGCAGGCACTATCTAGAGAACCCAGACTCTACATCGCAAGAAAGCAAACATGGAACCCAGAACCCATCATTCACATTACCTATCTAATCTCCACTGCAGTCTTCAGACCCTGAAGTTCGCAAAATCAATCTAACCGATTAAGCTTTACAGTCTTCAAGTGTTTGGACTTCACAGTGAGTTTTGGAGCTTCTTTCAACATCTTCTAATTTCCAATACTCCTTAGACAAATCCTCTCACCAACATTGTGTCTATACTCTATATCGATATGATATCAATGTCTTTGCGACAAAATCCCCAGCAGCTATGGAATCTGGACCACATCTTCGGGCGCGAATTCTTAGCCCTATGTAACGGTACCAATCTCGCATGCTCCGTTTTGACCATCTTTTCACTCATATTTCGCGTCTTCAGCCTTTCATCAATTGTTAGATATCTTGACGACTCCACACTCTCAATCCCCATGACTTCTGTCAACTGATTGCATCCAGTAATAGTCAATTTCAGCAAAAGCTCCAAAGCAGATAGAGCAGGTAGCTTCTTCATCGACGAGCAATCAGTAATAGCCAATAGCTGCAACGACTTCAATTTGTCAAGCCCCATCACCTCAGTCAACTGATTGCATCCTGTAATTTTCAACTCCCGCAAGTGCTCCAAAGCAGATAGATCAGGTAGCTTCTTAATCGACTCGCAATTAGTAATAGTCAATAGCTGCAATGACTCCAATTTGTCAAGCCCCATCACCACAGTCAACTGATTGCATCCCACAATTTTCGACTTCTGTAAGTTCTTCAAAGCAGATAAATCAGGCAACTTCTTAATCGAAGAGCAATCCTGAATCTCCATTACTTGCAATGACTCCAATTTGTCAAGCCCTCTCAGGCTAGTCAACTGATGACATCCTCCGATCAGTAGATTTGATAATGGCACCAGCTCGCCAAGGCCTTGTATTTCAGCGAGAAGTGGACAATCAAAAATCTTGAGCACCTGTAACTTGGTCAGATTCGACAAACTGGGCAGTTTGCCGAGTACTCGACAACCACTCACCCACAAATCCTTCAGAAGCTCTAAATGTTCTAGGCCATCGAGATCAATTAGATTTGAAGCCTTCAGTAAGTGGAATTTCTCCAGCATCCTCAGCTCTCCCAAACCGGCGATCTCGTGTGTCGCAATATCCCGTAAAGTTAAGTACATCAAGTTACTCAGATTCGCAAGGTTCGGCAGTCTCTCCAAAGGCTGAAAGGGATAAACACAGATCGATAGGGTATTTAGAGATGCCGGAAGGGTAGGCAAGGAAGAAGTGAGGGTTCTCATACCACGTCGTAGAGAATAATGATTCTGTTCGTGGAGATCAACTGATTCTTGGTGAAGATCAAGGGAATCCTTACAGTTCCCAACGTGCCACAACTTCAGCTCCTTCAACTTGGACAGCTTCCACATATCCTCAGGAATCACATGTGTATCACAACTCCACGATAGCCACTCCAAGTCCTTGAGATCCAAGAGATTGGGAACCCTAGATGATGAGAGGGATAGCCAATTTAAACTCGTGGGGAGTTCTGGTACTTCAATCTTAAGCCCTCCTATGTCCAAGATCTTCAGTGAGGAAAGTTTACCAATGCTAGCAGGAATTTCTCTCAAGAGCGTCGAAACTACATTGATCTCTTGCAGATTCTGAAGCCTTCCAATGTCACCTACTAACTTTGTTATCTTAGTCTCGGCAACGTTTAGCACTCTCAAATCCTTTAAATGACCAATGTGAAGTTCTCCGCCCATTTTCGAGCAATGCCTGAAATTTATCCGTTCTAGACTTGTACATCCCAACAAATCCGGGACTTTTGTCACTTCCTTGCAGGATGATACATCTATAGCTTTCAGCCTGTGTCCCTCCTGGATCAGAAAAAACACACCGATAACAAAATATGTTACAAGGATAATAGTTAAACTAGATGCTACTAAAGTAGATTTATACTCTTTCAAGGAACAATAAAGTTAGGAACGTTTGAATGTAAGATTTTATAGTGTAGATGGTTAGAAATGGATCATCTAGTTAATGATAGAAGTATTGAAGAACCGAAAATCTCTCATTGAAATCTCCAGATTCTATGTAATCTCCAAATAGATGATTTTGACCAGTTCGCACCCATGACTATCTGATATCACATAAACATAAATTTAATCTTTATAGATATGATATGAAGTAGGAACTTTAATAACCTTGATTGTGTCCCAGTATCTCCAGTCATCTTTTACAGGGCACTGTCCCAGATCCAGAATTACCAATTTCTTTACATTGATATCGATAGGGATTGAACTGCAACTATGGAGTCGCAGCCAGCGCAGATTCGGAAGAATATTCTTGAAATCTCCACTCAGCCTTCCACCGTACACTTCAAGATACCTTAACCTTGAAAATTTCTGAAATTCCATCTCCGTGAGCTCAAAACTCTTATAACGCATGTCGATTCTAAGAACTTCCAGCAGGTCGGTTCCCTGCAAAAATGTAACCATACCCACAAAACTTTTACATCCTGTCTTGAGCTATCAAATAATATGGGAAAAGGGAAATGAAGTGGAAGAATATCAAATGAAACAACCAGTAATCTTGTGAATTCACCATCACGAACTTAATAATATGCAAAATGCCATGTAGTATTGTACCTTAATAGCTAAAAACACCTTTGTAGCATGCCAATATAGAAAAATTCATGGACAGAAAATTTATAGAACATTTTAGTTTAAAATCTACAAGTAACACTAAAAATCTTGTGAATTCTCCTTCTCTTGTTTTGTATTCCTCTAAACTTTGTTAAATGATTTCACCATTATCATAACACTAAAAATTTGTTCACGAAATCTTGTTGCACCAGAAACAAAAATGGAGTGCTGGAATGTTGCATGTGCCGCTAGGTTGTACTGGATGCTGTAGATCCGCGGTGGTTCATTTTAGGTAGCCTGGATGGAAAGGTAAGGCTAAAAGGAAGGTTGATTTGGGAAGTTAATAATACACACGTTGGTTCTTGGCTTTGGAGGAAATTTGTGAGTTTAAGAACTTCGTTTCAATTCAGGATGCCAGTTGACAGAAACTCTGTGGTCTCCTGCGATGGCAAGCCTCTTACAAGATTCTCAATCAAGACTGTATGGCAATCTATTAAGGGTCAAAGGTCTAGGGTTGAGTGGCATAGAGTGCTACGGAACAAGTTTGTTATTCCTAGGCTCTCTCACCTGGCTAATACTTTGTAAAAGAATAAAAACGAGAGTGAAGTTGAAGGAATGGGGCTTTGCAGACTCAGACAGTTGTGTGCTTCGTGATCAGAAAGCTGACTCCAGAAATCACCTTTTATGTCGGTGTCCTTTCTCTACTGCAGTTCTACCTGGCTTGTTCCTTGCTATCAACTCGCCAGGAGATTGGAATGGGATGGTAAGCAGAATTTGTAGCCTTGTTATGCAAGGAGGAACAGAAAGCTGCATATATGGCAGTATTTGGTGCTAGCATGTGTCTCAAATCTGGAGGGAAATATGCAAAAGGATGGTTGGGGCAACAAGTAGAAGCTGGGAAGAGGTGCTCTGCCAGATTTGAACTGAAGTGCATTATTACAGTATTGGGAAAATGGGAATTTCATCAAGCTTTGGCTCAATCAAGTTTCGCAAAAGTTTTTTTTTTTTTTTTTTTGTCTGCACGTTGACAGGCTGATATTTGTTAGTAGTTTGGTTTGTAGGAGTAATTACACAGGGTTTAGGCTAGTTTAATTGTCCTGCTGGGATATAGTATTCTGCTACTTTGTACTGTGTAAGCAGAGTGTTTTTCGAGATCTCGACTATGTTTAGTCAAGTGGCTTAATAAAAATAACAACACAATTACCAAAAAAAAAAGGAGTACTGGAAATATAATACCTCTCCATTGCGTAACATATCTACCGCATCCTCATTGGACCATATTCTTGAGCGCTTCCAAGGATGTTGATCATCTCCTGCACGAACAATCATTCTCCCAAGATCTCTTACATGGTCATGCATCCAAAACTTGTTATCCCCATTCACCTTTATCAAGGACCTTAAAATAAGAGTTTGAATTCCGCTTCCAGGATAAAATTCGCAATCCTTCCACATACAGGAAGGATAATCCTTGTTTCTTCCTATAAAGACAAAAGCAATGTCGAGAAAGATTTCTTTTTCATTAGCATCCAACGTATCATAGCTTATTTTCAATCTCTCTTGCACCTTGTGGGGAAGTATTTTCTCTAGTTTTCTCAAATTCTCTTCCCAGAATTCTAAATCTGTACGAAACAAAAGCGACCCTATAACTTCAAGAGCCAAAGGAAGTCCCGCTGCAGCTTTTACAAACTTCTCACACAGAGTTGTCCTGTCCTCTAGGGGGTTATCATTTCTAAAAGCATGTCTTCGAAAAAGTTGAAGGGAATGGTCATGACTCATTCCTTCAGGTTCATGAAACCTAGATACTTGAAGCAACTCCAACACCTTTTTATCTCTTGTTGTGATGATAAATCTACTTTCAGAAGAAAATTTACTTAGTTTACCTAAGATTTGCTCAAACTCAAACCGATCATCCACATCATCAAGAATAAAGAGAACCTTGCCGGGGCATACTCTATTTTGTATAATATTGATTCCTTCACCGGCACTTCTAAGCTTGTGATCTTCCCCTAGAATGCTAAAAATAATCTTACTCTGCAGAGTTGTCACACCGTCATACTGCGAAAGTATTTCTCGTACATCTTCCAGAAAACAACGACGTTCGAATTGTGTAATGACCTTGTCATGGACGGCCTTGGCGATAGTGGTCTTTCCGATGCCACCCATACCATGAATGCCTATGATATTGATGCCGCTTTGTAACTTCAGCAATTCTGTCACTCGGTTTACGTGAGCATCGATTCCAATCAGCTCATGCGTCACTAACTTGAACTTCTCGTGTACCAGTGGCCACACCCTAGAGTAAACTTCTTCTGCTAGTGCTCCCTGTCTGGAAATAAAAAGCTTGTAAGTCAACGGCAGATACATACATGCAGCCAAGTCCAATAATTGAAAACACAGAGAAATTGCATTACCCATCTGACTCGTTCACGCTCCATCCTTTGATTTGCCCGACTGCATTGAGAGCCTCCTTCCAGGCCTCAATGGTTTCTTCATCATATTCCTCACTCTGTTGTTCCATTGCCTCCTCATAGGAACCCATACAGTGCCGCACATCTCTAGGCTCCATGAGATAGAAAATGGGCAAGATGGTGTGACGACCTTCATCTTTCTTGCAATGTTCCACCATCAGAGCCAGCTCTTTGAGGCACCATTTGCTAGATGCATATCCTTTGGAAAGGATCGGGATGTATATTCTGGACTCCCCAATTGCCTTGTCGAGAGACCCGCCAATCTCTTCCCCCTTGCGAAGCGCTTCGTTGTCGAGAAAGGTCCGTATCTTTTTATTATTCAGGAACCTATGGAGGAAATCAGCCAACGTCGTGCGGACGTCAGGACCTCTAAAGCTCAGGAAAACCTCATACTCTACCACTGGAAGAGGATCTGGGGAACGGGTTGACGAAGCCATATGATTCGATCCAGTTTGCTCCATCCTCTTCTACCAGATGAAACAAGCAACAAATAATGTCACGAAACTAAACCAGCAACAAATACCAGCGACCTTGGATGGTGAAATGAAGGAGATCCAAGGATCGTATTTACGTTTACCAGCTTGTAGTCAACCCTTGAGATGGCGCTAGTCAACCCTCTACTCCTTTTTTTTTTTTTCTTCTGAAAATATCCCTTTCTCTTCCCGCTTGACTAATCTTCCACTCGTCCTTCCTCCAGTCTTCATGACTTACGGTGATTTCCATCACCGTCACCCTGCCGCCATTGTTGATCTCGATCCGACTCGCCCGACGCGGCGGCGCCTGAATCCCCATCTAAACCAGCAGCCGTTGTCGACTAGAATAGTATAGAGTTGACTAACAAATTTGGAAACAGAAGTACAGAACAGAAGAGCGAGTCGGGCCGATAAAATTGAGATCTAACATGGGCTTTATCCTGCAGCCCACTTAGCTGTTCATAAAATAGCTAAACGGGCTGGGCCAGCATACATTAGATTGGTTGCATCAAAATAAGCAAACCATTTTAGACTCTTCAGAAAGCTGCATGAAACTCTGTTCTTGTGCAGAAAAGAGATGAATAATGTAATCGTTCTGCAAGGAAGAAATGGAGCTGTGCATATAAAGTACATCGCCTTTTGCTTGTGCTGAATTTGAAATGTCAACAGATCCATGAAATGTGTATGGGAAATTCGATTCTTAAGGTTGCAGAAAGAACAAGCATAGAATGGCAAGATCATGCGGAAAGGAATTACAGTGAATTGAAGCACATCCAGTCGGGCGAACCAGGCTCCAAGATGCATCCAGGTAAAGCTTCGGAGGCGAAGATTGTCTTCAGAAGCCGGAGATGTTCAAGGCCATCGAGATTAACTAGGTTCGGAGCCCCAAATATCCACAAAGTTTCCAGCCTTTCCCAAATACACCAAGCCAGGAATCTCACATGCTCGAATCTGAAACAGACTTAGTCCCATCAGATTTCTCAAAACTTGTAACACTTCAAGCAGATGAGAAGCTGCTCTATGCAGGCAGACTATCCATATTACTCGGATTTTCATTCATACATTTGGCATCCTTCAGAGACTTTTACATCAAAGGTTGGGGGAGACGGAAGACAGCGCAATAAAATGTCAAATCAGCTATGTGTGACAGCTTCGACAGGTTGATTGCCACTTGCCAGAGATCATTTCATCAATCTGTCATAGTCACGATGCCACAAACAAGCAATCAGTTAACAAGATATTTATATTCTCATGGTGCAACCTCAGAACTTGAAGCGGGAATAGTAACGAGGGAGGGAAAATTACTTCTTCTAAACAGCATGAAACGACTTTTTTTTATAAAATGCACTAGCTTCCTAAATGTCGATCACCTCCTAGTTCCAACACGAATGCAAACAACACATGAACCATGACACGAAAGAAAGAGAACCTCGACTTCCTGAACCGAATAGCCCGAAGAACTTGAAGAGGGTCGTTCAAAAAGGTCGCTTTTGGTGGTAAAGGGGTCACTACATTTCCCGATCTTAGATCCACACTGCCAATAGTGAAATGGGACACGGAGAACGGTAAGCCAAATTAGTTAGCAAAACGAGTAGAAGCAAGAAAAGGGATAACTAAACCACAGCCTGTTAGATCTTCACCACAGCTCGTATGAATACTATAGAACAGACTGGTAAACAAAAGGAAACTCTATTAATTAAGAACAAACCTTGCCTACTAATTAATAAACATCTAACCTTCAAGATTAATAACAAGCCTTACCTGAAACAAACTAGAAGAACAAAGCTAAACTCGTTAAGGTTAGTAAGATGAATGAATTCCTCCCTTTTCCATTCAATGCTACAAACCTTTTTCCTAGAAGCTCGAGCCAGCTCTACCTTGTCTAGAACAGAATCTGAAATACAAAAGAAACACTATGAAATCAAGAATCTGTCTAGCTCATGGGCATGGATCAAAATGATAAGAGATCGTAATGATAACTTACCCGGAATAGAAGCGCAAAACCAGTCTCCGATAAGCACCATGCAATCACCTGCCACCGTGTCGCTCCCTCGCTCCAGCAAACAAACTTCATTGCTACACGAATCGGACCTTCCGCGAGCAATGCTCGTTCCAAAGCCTCGCCGGGATAACTTCCGCGAGCGTCTCAATCAATCCCTACTGCTGCTCCGGGTATTAACAGAGGAACAAGGCAAATGATATTAAGAGCAGCAGCTTATTGACTAAGGGTTAAGAATGATGAGAGACTGAGATTTCATCAGAATAAGTTTGGCAATGAGGGAGCATTTTAGCATTACACCAATGAAAATAAGCTGCCGATGATCAAGTGAAACATGAGTTTTGGACTACTCTCGTAGTAACTAGTAATTAGAGATTCATGATGATGATGAAAACCTTCAGAGCTTCATTCATACGTTTGGCATCCTTCAGAGACTTCTGCCTGAAGGTTGGCAGGGAGACAGAAGTCAACCCATATAAAAAATTACCTTTGAAACCACTCTTAAAAAAGATGCACTAGCTTCCCAAATGTTGATCAGCTCCCAGTTCCAACACAAAACGCAAATGACACATCAAACATGAGACAAAAAGAAAGAGAATCTCGACTTACCAAACCCGAATAGCCCCAAGAACAACGGTTAAAACTTCGCTAGTTTGGCTAATTTGGACAGAAAGCAGAAGCACAACACTTGCAGCATTGGGACAACCTCTGATTTTCCCAGAGGATAAAGACTCCCCCAAATTTGAGCTCCTCCATCTCATCCCAAGCCAGAAAGAAAGGATGTAACTTTCATTAGGATCAAAATCACGACCAGCAAGCAGGCAGCAGCTCTCCGCTTTGGCTCTCATTCGAGTGGATTCTGTTCTTCATCTGGTTATATATATTCATCCGCCATCCCAGTAGGAAGAACAGCAGCTAGATAGCAGGGGTTGCAAGTTGCATCACCGTAGATATCAGTAGAGTGATTCGCCATAGATCATTTCTCGGTCTTTTCACACCAGGAGCAAGGAAATAAGGAGTTGGAACTCTTCCTCAACGAGAGAAAAGTTATGTCAGCAAGGAAAATTCTGCAGCCAACAAATGTCATTCAAGCAAATATACTTATCATCATTCACCTAATTCCTCAGAACCACTAAGTAGTAGCTAGAGAAGCCAAAAACTATACATTGCAAGAAAGCAAACATGGAACCAGAACCCATCATTTGTTCACATAAACTATCTGATCTTCGCGGCAGTCTTCAGACCCTCAAGTTCACAAAATCAATCAAAATGCTTAAGCTTTACAACCTTCAAGTGTTCGGACTTTGCAGCAATTTTTGGAGTTTCTTCTCCATCTGCTTCTCTCAGATACTCCTTTGACAATTCCCCTCCCCAACATGTCTACAGCCATTCCATGTCACTGTCTTTGAGACAAACTCCCCAGCAGCTGAGGATTCTGGACCAAATCTTCGGGCGTGAATTGTTATCCCTATGCAACGGCTCCAATCTCTCATGCTCCGATTGTACCATCGTTTCACTCGTCTTCAGCCTTTCATCAATCGTTAGATATCTTGACCCCTCCAATCTCTCAATCCCAGTAACTTCTGTCAACTGATTGCATCCAGTAATTGTCAACTCCTGCAAGTGCTTGAAAGCAGATAGATCAGGCAGCTTCTTAATCGAAGCGCAATCAGTAATCCTCAATATTCGCAATGAGTGCAATTTGTCAAGCCCCTTCACCTCAGTCAACTCATTGCATTCAGAGATATTCAACTTCTGCAAGAGCACCAGAGCAGATAGATCAGGCAGCTCCTCAATCGCGCACTCAGTAACCACCAATTCTTGCAACGACTCCAATTTGTCAATCCCCATCATCTCAGTCAATTGATTGCATCCCTCGCTGTTCAACTCCCGCAAGTGCTCCAAAGCAGATAGATCATGCAGCCACTCAATCGAAGTGCAATAATTAATCTTCAATGCTTGCAGTGACTCCAATTTGTCAAGCCCCGTCACACGAGTCAACCGATAACATCCATGGATCTTTAGATATGATAAGCTGGCCAGTCTTCCAAGCCCTTGGATTTCCGAGAGGAGTGGGCAATAAAGGATCTGGAGCTCCCGTAACATGATCAAATTTGACAAGCTGGGCAGTTTTCTCAGTACATCACAATCACTCACCGTCAGAGTCTTCAGAAGCTCTAGATGTTCGAGACCATCGAGATTAATTAGATTTGGAGCATTGCTTAAGTGGAACTTCTGCAACATGCTCAGCTCTCCCAGACCAACGATCTTATGTGCCCCAATATACTCCAGAAATAGATTCCTCAAATTTCTCAGATTCACAAGGTTCGGCAGTCTCTCCAAATGCTGAAAGCGAGAACCTGAGATCGATAGGGTATTTAGTGATGACGGAAGGGAAGCCGAGGAAGAGATAAGGGCTATCATACCACGTCGTGGAGAGTAAGGATATTGGTAGTTGGGATTGACTGATTCCTCGTATAACAGCTTCAACGTCAGGTTCTTCAACTTGGACAGCTTCCACCAGTTTGCAGAAAAGTCGAGTGCGTAACAAGTCCATGATAGCCACTCCAAGTCCTTGAGCTCCGAGAGATTGGGAACCCCAGGCGAGGTGAGTGAGAGGGTTAGCCACTTTAAACTTGTGGGGAGCTCTGGCACTACAATGTCCATCTCTTTTAGGTCCAAGATCTTGAGGGAGGAAAGTTTACCAATGCTGGCAGGAATTTCTCTCAAGCCCGAATGTTCTACACGGATCTCTTGCAGATTCTGAAGCCTTCCAATGTCACCTGTTAACTTTATTATCTTAGTATAGCCAAGCTTTAGCACTCTCAGATCTTTGAAACTGCCAATGTGAAGTTCTCCGCCCAGCTTCCAGCAAGCCCGGAAATGTACATGTTCTAGACTTGTACATCCGAACAAATCCGGGACTTTTGTCACATTGTCGCAAGACGATAAACTTATAACTTTCAGCCTGTGTTCATCCTAGATCATGACGCCACACACAAACAAAATAATATGTTACAAGGATAATCTCTTAAACCGAATAAAAGTAAAATTAAAGTAATTTCGATTAGTTCTCTAACTGTCTTTTGAACTATATACTAAAACAACTACCTAAGCCTCTTATATCATATCTTTTATAACTAGAAAATATATAATTATTTTTAAATAAAATGGACAAAAGCTGGTTTGAATATGTGATTTTATGATGTGGGTGGTTAGAAATGGGATAGTTTTGTTAATTATGGATGTACTTCCGAACTCAGAATTTACCATTGAAATCTCCAAAATAAGATTATACGTATAATCTCCCAATGGATGGATTGTGGTCAAAAAATTTGACATTCACGCCCATTTCCATCCGAGATCACATAAACACAAATTTAATCTTGATAAAGATGAAATGAAGTATGGAAATTGATAACATGTTTTTATGAGGAAGAAAATTGATAACCTTGATTCTGTCCCAACCTCTCCAGTCATCTCCTACCGGGCAACCCTTCATACTAAGAATCACCAATTTCTTCATATTGAAATCAGTAGGGATTGAACGACAGTCATAGAGACTTAGCCAACTTAGATTCCGAAGATTCTTCTTGAAATCTCCGATCAGCCTTCCAAAGTACACCTCAAGATACCTTAATCCGGACAATTTCAGAAACTTATTTTCCGTAAGCTCAAAATTCTCATCTGCCATGTTAACTCTAAGAACTTCCAACCGTTCAGTTCCCTGTTAAAATGAAATCATATCCACAAAACCTTTACATCCTGTCTGGAGGAATCACAATAATTTAGGGAAAGGAAAATGTGGTGGGAGAATATCATATGGTACAATCGAGTGGCAAAGCAAGAATTTTATGTTTGGGGATTGAATAAAGTTTCATGCTCTATTTCTTCTCATGTAAAAATCAAATGTTTATTGTTAGACGAAATATAAACAAGACGGTAGGCATTTACATAGAAATTTTCTTAAATTTTTTTAGTTTGAATGGAAAAGTTCCAATCTATCGATTTGAATAAAACTAGTGATCAATTTGAGGGTTTAATCGTTACTTGAATGAAATAAAGTGCAGCACAAGCAGATTTCTCAAAGTTTATGGACTAAAAAATAAAATTTGTGAAAGCTGATGCGCTTAAAATCAATCTAAAGTGCACTACATTAAAAAGGAAATAGTTTTTTTGAGTGATTCGAACCAGTGAGAACAACAATGTTAGTTCAAAAACCACCAATCCAAAATCCATTTAAATTTACAATTCCAGACAAAGCATAATACCATAAAATCCAAATTAACGAATGGCCATTGCCCTTCCAGGCAATGAACTAGCTTCGCCCCTACAACCAATAATCTTCTGAATTAAACGTCACAAACTCAATCATTGAGCTCATCTTTTGTACACCCTGAATTTCAACTACATGCGAAATGCCATGTAGCATTGCCCCTGAATAGTTAAGAGGAACTTGATAGCATGCTTATATAGAAACATTCATGATAGAAAATTTATGAAACATTTTGGTTCGGAACCTACAAGTGACACTTAGAAAAATTATTTACGAAATCTCGTATAAACCAGGGAAAAAAAAAGGAGTACCAGAAACATAATACCTCTCCATTGCGTAACATATCTACCGCATCCTCGTTGGACCATATTCTTGTGCGCTTCCATGGATGTTGATCATCTTCCTCATGAACAATCTTTCTCCCAAGGTCCCTTAAATGGTCATGCATCCAGAATACATTACCCTCATCCAACTTTATCAAGGACCTCAAAATGAGAGTTCTAATTCCACTTCCAGGATAAAATTCACAATTCTTCCACATATAGAAAGGATATTCCTTGTTTATTCCTACAAAAAAACAAGCAATGTCGAGAAAGATTTTCTTTTCATTAGCATCCAACGTATCATAGCTTATTTTCAATCTCTCTTGCACCTTGCTGGGAGGTATTCCCTCTAGTTTTCTCAAATTATCTTCCCAGGATTCTAGATCTGTACGAAACAAAAGCGACCCTATCACTTCAAGAGTCAAAGGAAGCCCCGCTGCAGCTTTTACAAACTTCTCACACAGAGTTTCCCTGTCCTCTCGGGGTTTATCCATTCTAAAAGCATGTCTTAGAAGAAGTTGAAGGGAATGGTCATGACTCATCCCTTCAGGTTCATAAAACTTAGATACCTGAAGCAAATCCAACACCCTTTTATCTCTTGTTGTGATGATAAATCTACTTTCATGAGAAAAATTCCTTACTTCACCTAAGATTTGCTCAAACTCAAACCGATCATCCACATCATCAAGAATAATGAGAACCTTGCAGGGGCATACTCTATTTTTTATAATATTGATTCCTTCACCTGCACTTCTAAGCTTGCAATCTTCCCCTAGAATACTAAAAATAATCTTACTCTGCAAAGTTGTAATGCCGTCATTCTGTGACGATAGTATTTCTCCTGCATTTTCCAGAAAACAACGACGATCAAATTGTGTAATGACCTTGTCATGGACGGCCTTGGCAATAGTGGTCTTGCCGATACCACCCATACCATGAATGCCTACAATATTGATGCCGCTTTCTAACTTCAGCAATTCTATCACTTGGTTTACGTGAGAATCGATTCCAATCAACTCATTCGTCACTAACTTGTAGTTCTCGTGTACCAGTGGCCACACCCTAGAGTAAACTAATTCTGCCACTGTTCCCTGTCTGAAAATTAAACACAAGTTTATATATCGGCAGATACACATGCAGCCTAACCCGTGAATTGAAAACACAGAGAAATTGCATTACCCATCTGACTCGTTCACGCTCCATCCTTTGATTTGCCCGACCGCATTGAGAGCCTCCTTCCAGGCCTCAATGGTTTCTTCGTCATATTTCTCACTCTGTTGTTCCATTGCCTCCTCATAGGAACCCGTACAGTGCCGCACATCTCTAGGCTCTATGAGATAGAAAATGGGCAGGATGGTGTGACGACCTTCATCTTTTTTGCAATGTTGCACCATCAGAGCTAGCTCATTGAGGCACCATTTGCTAGATGCGTAGCCTTTGGAAAGGATCGGGATGTATATTCTGGACTCCCCAATTGCCTTGGCGAGAGAACCGTCAGTCTCTTCCCCCTTGCGAAGTGCTTCATCGTCAAAAAAGGTTCGTATTTTTTTACCATTCAGGAATTTATGGAGGAAATTGGCGAAAGTCGTGCGGACGTCAGGACCTCTAAAACTCAGGAAAACCTCGTACTCTACAGCTGGTAGAGGATCCAGGGAACAGGACGATGAAGCGATAGAATTTGACCTGATTTGCTCCATCGTCTCCTGCAGATATTACAAAAGGAAGTCCCAAGAGATTGGGAAATGGAACCCACACCATAGCGAAACTCAATTGGAATATTGAAAAAAGACGACAATCTGAGAGAGTTTACCTGAAACAAACTCAAAGAACAAAGCTAGGGCCGGTAAGGTTAGTAAAGTGAATGAATTCGTCACTTTTCCACTTCAATGCTACAAACCTTTTCCTAGAAGCTCGACTCAAACAAAAAAGGCCGAATATCAAAGATAACTCTAAGAACAGGGCCATCCAAAAATGAAAATAAAGATTAAACAATTCGAGCCATTTCTACCTTGACTAGAACAGAATCTAAAGAGAAAGATGAAACAAATTAAACACTATGAAATCAAGAATCTGTCTAGCTCGAAATAATAAAGATCGTTATGATAACTTACCCGGAATCTACGTGAAGAACCAGTCTCTGATAAGAAAAGGCTCAATCTCTCTCGGTACAACCTTGTTTTATTTTGGATGAGTAACCCTCTGGTTGAGTATTGAGGATAGCAATTATATATCTCAAGTTGGGAGACCTTCAGTCTTCTACTTAACAATATTTAATGACTGAATAAATGTAGACAACTACGTTGCTGTTGTTGTTAGTCAAGGTTAGGTGAATCAATTCACCACCTCTTGTCCTATTTGCCTCCACGCGGTATCAGCTACTAATTAATTAATAACAAAACCTTGCCCTACTCAATAAACAATCCAATAATCAAGACCAAGCTAAGTCAGATGCTGCTATGAGCTTTCTTTTAACCTGTTAATGGTTAAATCTCTGCTACATGCATCCTCTTTTGATGTGCTAAACTTCTTCATCAATGACAATTGCTCCTAGAGCCCGTGAACTTGGTCAACTGTTACAAAGAGAAAAGCCTTTCATGATGTCTCCTTCCTTTCAATCCCCTGTAATCTTGGTCAACTGTGTGCATCCCCAACTATCCAAGTCCTCCAAATGCTTGAGACCAAATAAATCTGGCAATTTCCTGATCGATTCACATTTACTCATCTTCAGCGATCTTAATGACTCCAACTTCTCGAGCCCGAACACCTCAATCAAATTCTCAGAGCCTGAGCCCTGAGATATCTAGAAACTGTAATGTCCCCAACCTCTCGAAACCTTTGATCTCAATCAACTGTGTACATCCTATTGTCTCTAGCTTCTTTAGATTCTTCAGACCAGATAGATTCGACAATTTTATAAATGACCAGCAGTTTCAACAACAGCATCTCCTTGATACCATTAACTTCAGCCAAACGTTTGCACACAGTAGTAGATATTTCCACTAGGGACCAGAGACCAGAGAGATGGCGGTATTGTTGTGCTGACAAGATATGGCGGTGATCAGTCCAGGAAAGATCCAGGACTAGCCTCCTCAGATTTCCTGATTTCGACAGGAAAGTAGCAGAGGTTACATTGATCCTGAACATCCTTTCGCTTCCAGTTCCAGAGATTGGAGGCCCTCAGTAAACCCCAACATACTGGCAGGAGCAAGATTGCAAGGGGAAGATAATCTACAAATCTCAAACCGGCAATCCGCTCAATTCCTAATTACCTGCATCGATCTCTTGAATACTTGAAAGTATTCCAATGTCACCAGTTACCTGAGCTATTCTAGCCCACCAAGCCTTAAGCACTTTCGGATTGTTCAATTGGCCAATATACTATCCCCCACTCAGTCTCCCCACAGCAGAGGAAGATCCATCAACTCTACATTTTCACATTGGGACAAGTCGGGAGCTGCTTCTAAGTCCATGCACTCCCATATTGACATACCCATTCCGTGACAAGAGGCCCTTTGGGATATAAGCTGCAAAACATCGATGATATCGCTGACGTTGATCAATGTGTTCATATCCCATGCATGGCGATTTAAAGATTTTGGTCCGGTCTAGGAAAAGCTCAGATTTGAGAATCAAGTGATGTCAATGATAAAGCTGCAAGTACCTAGACCCTAGTTCAACGACGGCATCCTACGCTGCCTTGTACAAGCCTTTCCTCTTGTCAAGCTCCAGTTGAGGCTACGTCAGAGGGGTGCAACAGTGTAGATATCAGTAGACTGTGCCGTGTATCTCTTCTGGTCCTTTTGCATAGTAGGAATCCCGAACGGCAGGAGCAAGGAAATAAGGAGTTGAAAGCTCGCTGCCTCGCTCCCGGACAGAAAAAAAAAATAAAAAATCATCTCTGAGAGTGGAAATTCCGTACCTGTTGAAACTCGAGGCAGATCAGCGAAAGATTCTATTTCCCTGATCGATTTCAGGTGGCATGGTTTCCTCCATGGACGCAAGGAATCGAATCATTTTCACGAAGGTGTATCTTTAATAAGAGAAGGATGGGGCGGAAGCAACCGCCACCGGCGTGAACCTCCGCGCTGAGATTAAAGTAGCGGACAGATAGGATCAGGCAGTCGAATGAATAACTTCGTTTCAATCTCCGGCGATTCAATTTTATCACTCGCCGGAACCACGACCTCCTTCGGAGGCGGCGGCGGAGCGGAGGCCATCGGTGCGCAGCAGCGAAGAAGATAGAATGCCGGAAAAGTTTACAGGGGCGGCCCACGATATTGGCTACTGACGGGCTAACACGGATTCTACATCGGTCTGGATTGACGGCCCCCTCTGGACGTTTTGACAGACTTTAGGCCCTGGCTAGCTGTATTGGGCTTTTAGGCTCAGGCTTTTTGGCCCTTTCGACTCAAAAAAAAAAAAATTCTCCTAGTCAAGTGTTATAAATTGAGTCATACAGACGAAATAAGTAGAGCACGGGAGTCGATAAATAGTCGAACTCCAGATGAAAGAGTCTTTTATGTTACATGATGGGCAGCCTTATTGAGTCGACGGGGAACAAAACAGTAAAAAACTCAACTAAATAGAGAAGCCAAGCTTCGAGCCTCCTCCAAGATATCTCCACTCCAATCATGAGCCAAGTCACCGTTCATCATCCGCCAAATCAATTGTTGAGAATCTCATACTCAATTTGACAAATTATTTATTTAAGCTAACTAGAAATTGGTCAACTTTGATTCCTTACAAACCTACTGCAACAGTTAACTGAAGAAACAACACTGAATTTTAGATTGGTCCCAACAACAACTGAAGGAGAAAGTCAATACATGTATTATATTAGGGGTCGGTTAGCATGCTAACCCCCTTAGGGGTTGGAAAAATGACACCCCCTAGTATATTAAATACAACTATAGAATTTAATACACACATTAAATACACATTATGAATTAAATGCACTATATTAATTATTTGTTTTTTTTCAAATTAAAACCTACACTAAATACATTTTCTCTCACTATATTTTATTTTTCCTTTTTCAGCAGTCTCCGACCACCAGACTTCCTCTGACCGCCACACTTCTCCGGTGAAAATCCCATCGGCAGACTCCCTCCGACCACCTCCAAAAAATATACCACTGCACTGATACGTTGTACCACTGTACTGGTAGATATACCACTGCATTGGTAGCGATATCAGTGCACTGGTAGCAATGTCATATCTGAGTATCAGTGCAGTGGTACAAATACCAGTAAAGTGGTACAACATATCAGTGCAGTGGTATATTTTTGCATGTGACCGGAGAGAGTTTGTCGGCGGATTTTACCGGCGAAGTGTGGTGGTCGGAGGAAACTTGGTGGTCGGAGGCTGCTCGGAAAGGAAGAATTAGAGATAGGAGTGAGAAAGATCAAAGATGAGAGAGAGAATTGTATTTTGTATATGTTTAGATTTTTTTTAAAAACAAGTAATTAATGTGGTGTATTTAATGCTTATTTGTATTTAATAACATAACATTTATTATGTTTACTTTCATTAATACTTGTCAATAATTAATGAAAAATTGACCAATTAAAAGGGGGTGTCAAAAAACCAACCCTTAAGGGGTTAGCATGCTAACCCGTCCCATTATATTACACATATTAATTGATGAATTTAGTATATCGTAGGTTGCCTAGTTTTGTATAGGCAATTGTGTATTAAATTATTAAAAAAGAAAGTCACTTGTTAACCAGATCGTCACTTGCACCTCTTCTCCAATGAAAATTTTACTTTTTCAAAGAATAAAGCTGAAAATAAATAAACAACCATATCAATTGCACAATTCTAATTAAATCAATGCATTGTGAGTAGTTCATCACAAGAAGCAGAAACGAGGGTGGCATCCTCTCCTCTTACTTCATCTCAACTCGAATGGCAGCAGCCAACTGATCATAGGCTTCACCCCATGCAGCCTCCAGCTCCTGGCTCCATTTCTCATCTCCTATGGCCTCTTTCAATGTTCTCAACAGGGCTTCTCTCAATACCTGCAAAAGAAGAAAAAAAATATACAATAAGCTAAAAATTAATTAAAAAAAAATTATTCACATTCATTAGGACAAAGGTTAATTAATTAAGATGAAGGATAATATAATATCACGTTAAGTACCTGGAAGTGAGGGTCAGTAACTCCATTCTTTCGGTGGAGAGAGCCCAAATATTTGAGGGTCATGTCCTTCACTACCACTTCTCCCTTCTCCCATACTCGAACCGCCGACTCGCACGTCTGCGTAAAAATCATCACAGTTGCTGCTATCTCTCTCACAAAATTTATAAACCAGAAGAAGTATTGTAACGTACTGAAAAAATCGACAATGCAAAAAATGTAAAAGAACCGTAACACAGTCAATAGGAAACTGGCATACATGCATATATGTGTCCGTTATCAAAGTATGTTTTCTTGTTCTAATTTAAGGAATATAAATGGCACAATAACATTTACTCATGTATTAATATCTCATTCAATTATTTCTCACCAAAATTTTTTTTATTAAATTTCATTTATTTATACTTAATCCTGTCAAATTAAGCCCGAAAAATAATTTTGTCAATTAATAATATTTGTACGAATATATACGGAAAAGAACATGGTACGAAACTCTTTTTCTATAAAACGCTACAAAAATCTTGTGCATATCCTTATAATATGAAATCATATCACTATCAAATCATGGTGATCTAGCCGATTTTTTTTATAGGCCTGAGTTTTGTACCGTAACCCAAGCGGAGTAAGTAGCTAGGTACGTTGCTTGCCATCTTGAAGACCTTGACGGCATGGGCTTTGAGCTTGGGATTGTTTTGCGGGGTCACCTCAGAATCTCTCAGGAACGGAAACATCTGCTTAGCCGCTGGCGCTATCTCCAGAACCCTGCAGAATATGCATGCAGTTACGTAACGGGAAATTGAGAAGAAGAACTTTCACTGATAAGAACCAAAACTACAGATCGTACGTGGTGAAGAAGAGAAAGCTGTAGCGAGGGATGTCTTTTGCCACCACTTCCCATGACTCCTTCATCGCCAACGCCTGATCTTCCTGCCTCTCAGCTGGGAAACCCGCCATTACTGTGACGAAACTTCTCTCTCTCTCTCTCTCTGGCAGCCAGATACATACAGCCTTCCCAAGTGGCTCACTCGGACACGATGACTGAAATTAGTTGATTAATTATAGCCGGCAGACAACCTTAACTATATGATGATATATGTCTTTTCGAAAAGGGAGTTTGACTGTTTGATGGTGCATTTTTTTTATGGGGTTTCAGTTTGTTGGTTGGACACTTGGACGTGGTACCCAATATCCTATATTACGAGGATTTGAGCAAATTCAACGTTTGTCTGTTTCTATAGAATATGATATGAGATGTGCTCGCTTGGTGGGATGTACAAACTTGAAAGAAAAAAAAAAAAAAAGTTAGGTATCATGAACTTTAGGAATATTTGGGATTCCAACGAATTTTACTATTTGTCGCGCCAGTAATTTTTTTGAAAGGAAACGATGACATTTTTTCATGTTTATCTTCATGCAAAACCTAACACCCGAAAAAAATAGATTCACAAATCCCGAGCCTTCTACTCTCCTCTCTCATGAAGCATCGGCCGAAACTTGAGAGTTGTCGAAATTTGCAGAGCCGCCGACGGTCACAAGGAAGCTCGTCCGCTGCGAGTATTTGGTCGTGACAAGATAGTTTATAAGGACAAGAAAATATTGTAAAAGGGTTGGCCAAAAGTGTCTTTTCTTCACAAACAAATAATAAATCATGGACGGCAAATAACAATGTCTTTAGTAAACTCATCTTTTTAATTAAGATTGGATAAATAATAAAATCATGGACAGCAAAATAATAATGCCTTTCGAAAACTCATCTTTTTAATTAAAATTTGATAAATTTGTAATGCGCAATAACTCCCACAAAAAACCTAATATATTATATTTATTTAGGTTAATATCTCAATCACATGAAGGGATTCGAATCTAAGACATCCGGATTCAAAATTAATGATAATATCACTAAGCCAAACCCCTTATTCATCGTTTACATGGACAATTTTAACTCCAACATTTCATAATGACAAAGATCATTTCAAATTTTATAAACATGAATAATTCTGACCTCAGAAGGTCATCAACTCATTTAACCGTTAACAACTCAACATAATTCGTTGAATGTGGAGGATAGAAGATTAGAAGTACCAATGATTCCTCTCTGTTCTCTCCCACGCAGCCGGCAACCCAACCCTGCCGGAACAGCAAACCAAATTCCTTCACAAACCACTAAAACCTTCAATGCTGGTTCCTCCATTGTAGACATATCTCATGACTCATGTCAAGGGCCGCAGAGATTTCTCCTTCCAAATTTCCGTCCAAAACAACAACTCCACCCTACATTATATCTATATTGACCATGTGCAAGCTCATTGGTTAGTTGACATCTTGCAGATGGCCATGGACAACAACTGGAGCTTTCCTAAACTATGTGTCAAGAAGAGTGGGAGGCGTTATGTACACGCGGGAATGTACAGTCGTCATGGAGAAAAGTTCCTGAAAATTTCAGAGTTGTGTCCCAATGGGAAAGTTTTCTTTGTTTGCATTCCAGCAGGGTCAACCTTGATGGCATGGTCAACATTCATCAAAACCCTCCGCAGTTTCATCACCGGCAATAAAACAACCACATCAGCTAACGACCTCCCACCACAATCCTATGCCGAAGCTGTCTCCGGAAAAGGTTTTTCTATGAATGGAGTTTGTTCAATTGCTATGGACGGAAACCAAGCGTACGTCAAGGTGGAAAGTGATGGAGTGGAAGACCGACTGAAATTCCTCGAACGATGCGTCTTGATTCGGCTTGTTGGCGCAGATAATGGCAAACTGTTTTCCATATCTTCCATGATTCCATCCCACAACTTCAAGAATGGATATACAAAACGTGGATGCTGAAAAACGACTGCACCTTGACAGATACTGGAGATGATCTACTTATGCTTTTGTGCGCTAGTCAAACCGAAGCCATAAGAGTTCTACAGACCAAAATGACAAGCTTCCAAGGCTTCAACATGATTCTCAGCCCATGGACGGAGGAAGCGGGTCGCACAAACTACTTGGATTTCAAGAATACTTTCTGGATTGAGCTACTGGGTATCCCAACCCAACTGAAGAGCCAATCTCTCATAAAAAAAACTTGGGGAATTCATCGGTGAAGTTCTGGAAGTTGATAACATATCATGGAGCTCTAACAAAGCTCGTGTGAAAGTGAAGACCGATCGTGATATCCCACGAGATATCCCGGTCGTCTACGGCACCACCGTCTTTCCAGTTATGACTTCGCCGGAAAATCCGCCGCCGCCTAGTTCACGCACCTCTGACAACCGGGTCCTACAGGGATGGAGGGCAAAGCAATCAATTGGGAAATCACACATAACAAGGCATCTTGATCCGCAACCTCCCTCTCTTATCGATCTGAATATTGATGAGGTACCATGTCCTGCTTCCTCTGCAATGGCGCAGCCCTCTGCCTCCTATTCAATGCCGAGTTCTCCTTCAACAACCCACACCATACACAATAATTCACCTATTTTGATGGGAGGATACGTGCATGTTTTTTTTTCCCCATTAAGTCACTCAATTAAGAGGAACAAAGAGTACAAAGTTATCGAGAACATAGCCAACGAGTAAAGTCCTCAAGAACAAGTAAGGCGACACTAATAGAGCATGACGAGCTACCAAGTGAGCCGCCCTATTTCGATCACGTCCTACAAATCGGACCTGGAAACTATCCTGAGATCGAAGAAGATGTCTAATCTCCAACAAAATCGCACCAATTCTTGCATCTTGAACGACCCCATTGTTGCAAAGATCAATCAAGGTCTTCGCATCTCCAAGGAACACCCCCATTCGCCAATGCTGTTGAGAACACAACATAATTGCATCCCGCAAAGCTAGCGCCTCAATGATTAATGAATCAGTGGTATTCGGATACTGCCGAGCAAAGGCCTGCAGAATTGTCCCATGATCATCCGTGACCACAACCCCAATTGATCCCAACGCTGAAGCAGTAGCACCATCAAAGAAAATCCGGTGAGCATATTCCATCCCGGGAGGAGGCCACAGGGAAACAGAAGAAACGCAAGATGGCGGCATGGAAGTAGGAACAGCACCAACAACATCAGTGGAAACTGGAAAGAAGTGCCTCATCCACCTCCCGAACTTGATGAGCCCATTGCAAAGCTAATACTTGAGGGAACGACTGAAAATGTTGGAAATGCACGGTACATCTGTTCTTCCATATCCGCCAAAGCAAAGAAGTTATCTACAGGACCAAGTATTTTGAATCGCTACGATCCTGCAAGGAAAGCAACTGACTAATGAAAGTGGTTATGAAACGAGTATCCCATAACTCCAAATAAGGCAACAACCCAACCGAATCCCAAAGGAAAAGAGCAAGGGGACAGCGGAACATGAGATGTTCAATTGACTCCCCCTCCTCCCTGCAAACAGGACAAAGATCCGGGATATCAAGACCCCTACTAACCAAACCTTCTGTAGTGGGGAGAATTCCACGCAGAAGCTGCCATAAAAAGAATTTAATCTTCGGCTGGAGAGTAGTGGACCATAATCGATTCCAAAGGCATGAGCCAACAGGAGGGACTTGATAACGAAGACGAGTTGGTGGGGATTGAGAAAATGCTAAATGATAAGATGTCTTGACTGAGAAAGAGCCCGATGAATCATAATGCCAAACCAGTACATCAGGAACCACATTGAAAGGCAAAGGAATAGAAGTGATTTGTTTGACAGAATCAGGAACGAAAAGGTCCTCCAGAGCACCAACATTCCAGGCATGACTCATGAGTAGCAGGATCAATGAAAGCTGAGACCCTAGCCAAAGAAGGAAAAAACCCCGGCGAAGGACCAGACAAGACGGAGGTGAAGTAGGCAACCATAAATCATGAAATGCACTAACCTCCTCATCAGTTCCAATCTGCCATCTCAATCCTTGTATAAGAAAATCACCGAATCCTAATCCTCCTTCAGCTTTAGGTGCACATAACTGCCGCCAAGCCAACCAATGAAGCCGCCGTTGTTCTTGAACTGCGCCCCACCAAAAACGAGCAATGATACCATTCAACCGCCTCAGCAGAGACAAAGGCAATTTAAAACAGCTCATTACATGATCTGTTTTAAAAGCCCAACCCAAAATCAACAATAAGTCCAAAAGTTGCAACAAAGCCCACTTAACCAAAACGTTTCTCTACCCCAGCCCACTCTACATTCGGAAATATCACCCAACCCAATTCCACAATCAGAATTCACAAATAATTATTTTACCAAAACGACAATCTCCCACAGCGCCGGGTCCGGATCCTATCAGTAACCGACCTATCAGTAACGGTCAGTAACCGTCCATCTGACCGTCCATCGCGCCATCTTCCCAGCCGTCAGATCATGCCAATTAAATACACGCGGGGGCAAAAAGGTAATCACGTCTCTGACAATTTGAATTGCAGACGTGACAGCGACAACCGTCCCGCCTTCTCTCCTTCTTTCTCTCACCTTTCAAGCGACAGTTCCACTTCCCTCTGCTCTCTAACTCTCCATTCTTCCTCCCGATAATCAATTCTATCACCAAAATCGCAGCAAAAACTTCCAGAAAAAAACTTCAAATCGAACGATTTTTGCAAAGCTTTTCGAAGAATCATTCAACGATACACTGTTCTCGCTTCTTCGTCGAAAAAAGAAGGGTTTCCAACTTCAACGAGGCTCAAAAATCGTTTTCGCACAAAATATCAAGGTAAAACCTCACTTCTTTCTTCGAAATCCATCCATAGAACAATAGAAACAGTATTTCAGTCACTCTTCATGTGAAAATTGTAGTAAAACTCGCTACATTACCGAATCGTTAGCACGCATTGCTGAACTGGTGTAGAATCTGTTGTGTTTTGCTTCGTTACCACATGGTATGGCGTGGTAAACTATGATTGCACGTTATAAAAAAGCAAAAAACTATGTTTTGCTTTGTTACCATATGGTAATGTGTGGTAAGCTATGGTTTCATGTTGTAAAAAAGCAAAAAAACCATAAGTGCTGCTGTGTTTTAGTTTGTTACCATATGGTAATGTGTGGTAAGCTATGGTTTCATGTTGTAAAATAGCAAAAAAACAATAAGTCCTGCTGTGCTTTAGTTTGTTACCATATGGTAATGTGTGGTAACCTATGGTTTCATGTTGTAAAATAGCAAAAAACCATAAGTTCTTCTGTGTTTTAGTTTGTTACCATATGGTAATGTGTGGTAACCTATGGTTTCATGTTGTAAAATAGCAAAACACCATAAGTTCTTCTGTGTTTTAGTTTGTTACCATATGGTAATGTGTGGTAACCTATGGTTTCATGTTGTAAAACAGCAAAAAACCATAAGTTCTTCTGTGTTTTAGTTTATTACCATATGGTAATGTGTGGTAACCTATGGTTTCATGTTGTAAAATAGCAAAACACCATAAGTTCTTCTGTGTTTTAGTTTGTTACCATATGGTAATGTGTGGTAACCTATGGTTTCATGTTGTAAAACAGCAAAAAACCATAAGTCCTGTTGTGTTTTAGTTTGTTACCATATGGTAATGTGTGGTAACCTATGGTTTCATGTTGTAAAAAAGCAAAAAACCATAAGTCCTGCTGTGTTTTACTTTGTTACCATATGGTAATGTGTGGTAAGATATGGTTTCATGTTGTAAAAAAGCTAAAAAACAATAAGTGCTGCTGTGTTTTAGTTTGTTACCATATGGTAATGTGTGGTAAGATATGGTTTCATGTTGTAAAAAAGCAAAAAAAACCATAAGTGCTGCTGTGTTTTAGTTTGTTACCATATGGTAATGTGTGGTAAGCTATGGTTTCATGTTGTAAAATAGCAAAAAAACAATAAGTCCTGCTGTATTTTAGTTTGTTACCATATGGTAATGTGTGGTAACCTATGGTTTCATGCTATAAAAATGGAGGAAAACATACGTCCTGTTGTGTTTTACTTCGTTACCATATGGTAATATGTTATAAGACATGGTTTGATGTAATTACCATATGGTAAAAATGAGATAAATATATGGTTTGATATCGTATGGTAGGAAACCATTATCGTACCATATGGTATATTATGGTAAAAAGCATACTAACAGACTATTACTAATTTCTACATTCAGGTACACTATGGTAAAACCAAGACACAGTTTTCGCACAAGGTGCAGCCCAACAAGAATATCTGCAATTGCAAGGTCAATAACAGATGAACGGAAAGAGCAACTTGACATATTAGGCCTAGCAGGCTTAATGTCAATCAAGCAGACAAAGATAAACAACCATTTTGCACTGTTCGTAATGAACAAATACGATCCAGAGAAAGAATCGTTCAAGTTACCTGACGGGACACACATGAAGATATCACCAATCGACTTTCATAGGGTATATGGTCTGCCGATGGGGGATAGGGAAGTTGTACCTCCCACGATTTCTTGGGATGACGCAGCAGATTATGCAGTAGAAACCCTACTCGAAGTAGATGGAACATCCACTCCAAGGGTAAAGCTAAGTCAGGTAGAAAAAGATCTTCCTACAACCAAACTGACTAAGAGATGGATGCAATTGTTCTTTCTGCTGGTCACCGGAGGCTTGCTGTGTCCAACTTCAGCACCTATGGCTGAACTCAACATGCTTGAGTACTTGAAGACCGAAGAACTGAAACATTTCACCAGCTACAACTGGTGCAAATACTTCTTCAAACACATGAATGAAGGATTGAAATCACCAAAGCTCTATGTCAGTGCAGATCTTCACTTCCTTACAGTAAGTCTCCATTCCCTTGGCCATTTCAACCTTGTTACTCATATATTTTATATATAAATGATACTCTTTGAAAAAAACTAATACAACTATCTGCATAAAAAGGTATGCTTCATGTACAAACTGGACGAAATGGCATTCTCAACCCAGCTTCGAACACCAACAGTAAGCTACTATGATGATAACAATGTTGATAGCAACTTTGAGAACATTAAGAGCTACTACAATGGAAAAGAGTTGAACGAGATCGAAAAGCTTGCCAACATTAATGACGATGAGGCTGATGGTGCAGCTGATGAGGAAGAGGAGAATGAGCCAGTCTATGAATCACCGAAAAGACAAAGAAACAAAAGTCCAGACCAGTCATCATCACTGAACTTTGATTTGAAGAATATCAGAACAGTCAACCAAGTAAGTACAAATTATCCATATTACAGTTGTCCAAGTTTGTTACCATATGGTAAGGTGTGGTAAGCTATGGTTTCATGTTATAAAAATGGAGCAAAACATAAGCCCCCGTTGTGGTTTACTTCGTTACCATATGGTAATGTGTGGTAAGCAAATGGTTTCATGTTATAAAAATGGAGGAAACCATAATTCTTGTTCTGTTTTACTTTGTTACCATATGGTAATGTGTGGTAAGCTATGCTTTCATGTTTTAAAAATAGCAAAAAAACAACAAGTCCTGCTGTGTTTTAGTTTGTTACCATATGGTAAGGTGTGGTATGCTATGGTTTCATGTTATAAAAATGGAGGAAAACATAAGTCCTGTTGTGTTTTAATACGTTACCATATGGTAATGTGTAGTAAGCAATCGTTTCATGTTATAAAAATGGAGGAAACCATAATTCTTGTTCTGTTTTACTTTGTTACCATATGGTAAGGTGTGGTAAGATATAGTTTCATGTTATAAAAAATGCAGAATAGTGATAATAATTGCCAATACCATGTATTACCACCATGGTATCTTACAAAAACTCCCATTATGCAGGCTGAGAATGCAATCAAACTGCTTGCAGCATCAATGAAGGCAATGATGAAAGCAATCAAAGACCAGTACAAAAGCCAAATTGACAATCTGATCAGACACAAGGAGAATCTTGCGAAAGAAAGCTGTGATGAAAATGTTCAGCCAACAGAAGGAGAAAAATTTCAGTGTGAAGATGATGAAGAAGAGAATGATGAAGAAATGAATGCCAGTTTGAATAAAACACTCAATGAAATATTCAAACAGGCAAATATAGACCAGAACAAAGAGGAGAAGGAGGAGCAAACACAGAAAGAAGATGATTCACAACCATCTACAGTCGATCTTGCTGCATCTACACCGAAGCCAAAAGAAAAGGAGCAAGATGTTTCTGATCCAGGAGCTGTGAATAGGGAAAGCATCCCAAAAGAAGGTCTGAATGGGGGAACACCACAACAAGAGGACACCCCGAAAGCAGTTCCAGAACAGACATCTGCAAAAGAAACAGGAGAAAAAGGAGCTACCAAAACAGCAGATCCAATGGAAGTTGATAAGGAAACAACAGAAGAAGGGAATACAGGGCAAGCTGCGCAAAAGACTCCAGAAACTGACAGCGAGAAAACGGTGTCAGATGATGTTGTTCGAGAAGAGGCTCCAAAACTGACAACCAAAGATGCTGAGAAGCCTAAAGTGACAAGGGAAGACGACATTCCATCCTTTGATCTCAGCCCTCTCAACCGTCAAACACCAACAACACCAACGAAGTTGACTACCAACACGGCAACCGATCAACCAGGAGAGCCTCGCAAAAGAAGAATCGTGGTGAAGAATGTGCACGGAAATGAAAAGAAGGCAAGAGCAACACCACCACCAGCACAGCCACAAAGCACCCAGTCACAGACGGCGTCATATGCTATATGGTCAAATCTGTACACAAACAGCCAAGAGAAGCTCAAGGAAGTCCGTGAATGCATAGATGCTTACCTTGAGGACCTGAATTCTCCAACTGTTGATCCAGTTGCTCCACAATCACAAAAAACACCAGCTGAATGGTCAACACCAACACAAACAACACCTGATGATATGTTCAACAACATCCTGGAGTACATAAGATGCAAAAACAAGAAATTTGTCAAGAGGTAAGTCATCATCTTAAAACTTCTACTGTTATATGATTTTACTGTAGTGATCTAGTTTGTTACCATATGGTAAAATAAGGTAAGATATGGTAAAATAAGATAAATCTATTGTTTAATGTTACAAAATGTAGTAATGCACAAGTCCTGTTTTGTTTTAGTTTAATACCATATGGTATGATGTGGTAAGCTAAGGTTTGTTGTTAAAGAATGGATTAAACCATAACTCCTGTTCTATTTTACTTATTACCATATGGTAAGATGTGGTAAGCTATGGTTTTGTTGTGGTAACCTATTGTTTGATGTCATAAATTAAAGTAAACCATCCGTCCTGTTGTGATGTGCTTTTATACAGTGATGAGATAATGTTTAAAAGGAAGGATGGAACATTCTTGCTGAAAAGGGAGTCAGTACAGTTGATTGACATTGGCTGTGAAATCACAACTGATGTCGTCGACTGGTATGGAGATGTAATGAACAGGAATGAAGCAAAAAAAGGAAAATTCAAAAGGTGGTTCTTCGATACATCTT